GGTCAAGGTAATGGCCCTCCCCTCTTTTTGAGGGAGAGACAGAGGGAGGGAGGGAAGGAGTGCGCTCAGGGGAGCAGCAGAGAGAGAGGGAGACACAGAGAGTCCTAAGGAGGTTCTGCACTGGCAGCATGGAGCCTGATGTGGGGCTTGAATTCATGAACCATGAGATGATGCCCTGAGCCGAAATCCAGAGTCAGATGCTGGACTGACTGAGCTCCCCACGTGCCCCGGTGACAGCCCCTTTGTGTTCCTCGTGTTGGCCATTTATGCCTGCGTTCCTGATGCTCGCAGTCTCCCTCTTCCAGCCAACCCCCCACTGCCCGCGGCCCAGACTTCGCTGAGGACACTCCATCCCTCTAGCTGCTCAGGCCCCAAACTTTGGAGTCGACTTTGACTCCTCCCTTCCCCCAACTCCTCCCACCTGTGCCACCGGGAAGTGGTGTTGGCTCTACGTGCAGAATCTACCCGGAATCTGACATTCCTCACCATCCTACTGGCCTCTCCCGGGTGAGGCCATCACCATCTGTCACCTGGGCCACCAAAATGCTTCTCACCTGATCCCCCTGCTTCTGCCTTGGCCCTTACCCCCCTTAGAACAGCAGCCAAGTCACATTGTCACCTTTCCCTCAAAATCATACCACAGGCCCCATTTCATTCACGGTGAGCGCTAACAGGCTAAACCTGGACCCCAGGACACACAGGCCCCTCTGCCCTCTCTGACGTTTCTTCTTCCTAGTCTCCACTCACTCACCCTGCTCCTGCGACCCTGGTCTCCTCGCTGTTCTCTGAGCATGCCAGGCACGCTTCTGCCCCAGGGCCTTTGCAGTTACTTCCTGGTTCTCTCCTGAGATGCCTTCCTCAGATCTCCGCACGGCTTCCTCCCTCCATCCTTTGAATCTTTGCTCACATGGGCCTTTCTCAGCGAGGCCCACCTGATGCCCTATTAAATGGGCATCCGTTCCCTTCCGCCCCTGGCACCTCTGCATCCTATTTTCCTTTCCTGTTCTCCATCCTACTCATCACAGCTTCCGTATCATGTGTGGTGTCCCTGCTCCCCGCCCTCACTAGAGAGGCAGCTGCAGGAGGGCAGGGGTCCCTCTGGTCTGTGCACTGGGGCGCCGGACAGTGCTGGCCACAGGCGCCTGACGGGTATCTGTGCGGTGAACCGCGGACTGAGTTTTCGGTACCAGGTACTGTGCTAGAGCTTACAGCAAGTGAGCGTCACCCCCATATTCCTGATGAGGACACGTGCTCTGGAGGTGGTGACTGACTTGCTCAAGGTCACGGCGGAGGGGAGGGGCAGGCGCGGCAGTGCGCTGGGAGGCCCGCAGCGGATGGGGCGAGATTACCAGACTGAGCTGGGGAGCGTGGGGGGGGACCGAGAGGGGGACGTGGGCGGTACGGGGTGTCGGTCGGCTGGAGGGGGGAGAAAATCACTGTCGGGTTCTGAGGTGAGCGGTTCAGGAAGCCACGGGACCGTGTCAGGATTGGGGAAACAGCCCAGTCCTTGCCTTTGGCCTTTATACGCACAGTGCGTGTTTATGGGTCTCTGACGAAGTGTGGAAATGTATTCCAAAGCCGAAGGCAACGGATGACCCTTGAAAGCATCATGCCAAGTGCGATAAGCTAGACACGAAAGGACAGACGCTGTGTGATTCCACCCGTGAGGTACGCGAAGTAGGCAAAGTGACAGATTCGGAACGCAGGATGTCGGGTGCCAGGGGAATGACATCTAATGGGGACGGGGCTGCACTTTGAGAGGCTGGGGACAGTTCTGGACGTGGACGGGAGGATGGCAGCCTCCTAACGTGGATGCGCCGCACGCTTAAAAATGCTTCACATGGTGACTTTGATGTTCCGTATATTTGATCGCACACGCACACAGAAGTCCGAGACGAATGGCCAAGCGGTCCCTCGCCCTGTCCCTTTTGCAGCCAGTGGCGGTTAATGACAAAGCCAGAGCCAAGAGGCGAATCGAGGTGACGGTCGGCTCCCAGGGCTCCTAATCGGCATCCCCGTGCCGCGTCACTTAAGAGTAGTCGGATTAGCGCCAAAGGCCGGCGGGGCGGCCCCAGCTGGCAGACCGGCGCGTAACTGGGGCAGGCTGGAGGATGCGGCGGGGTGGCGGGCCCGGCCGGGCCGAAGGGTCCCGTTTGCTCAAAGCGCACTGGGCCAGCAGGGGCTGGGGGGGAGGGAACGGAAAACCCGCAGCTGTCCAGGGTCTCCCCCCACCCCTCTACTTCTCCCCCTGCTTCTTCACACAGCCCGAGTTCTTCCTCTCCCTCTGCAGGGCCCCTCCCCTTGCATCTGCCCTGTGCCAGAGCGCGGGACCCGGAGTGGGCCTCGGGGAGCACACGTGGGCGCCCAGGTGCCGGGTGACTTTCCAGGGCAGTAATCTGCTTTAGGCTAAAATGAGACTTGATCTTCTGTTAGCCCTAATCAGCAATTAGCAGCCCACTCGGCACAGACGGCGATGGCCCAGGCCTCACTGCCATCTCCGCCTCCTGCTCCCTCTGCCCCCCGCCCTCTCCTTGCCTGGGGTCTTGGGGCAGACCCAAGACGGGGCTCAGTCCCGAGTGTAATGCCAGACAAGCGGGCTGGGCAAGCATCGGGCGGAGGCTCTGCCCCCGGAGCCCCACCGAGGCGGCGCGTCACCTCCCAAACAACATGGTGGCCCCACCGAGTGCGGAGCAGGCAGGCTTGCTCATCTCTCTCTAGAAAGAAGGTGCACGTGGCCTGAGAGGGCAGGGCCGCCCCACCCGGCGCCACCCTGCCCGTCCCTGGTGGTGCTGGGAAGAGCTGATCCTGTGTCCAGCGCTCTGATTCTTTGAGACTTGTGGGGACAGACAGAGAAAGCTCCCTGGGACCCAGCAGGAAGGAAGAGTATAAACTTGGAAGTCACAACACCCTGGGGCTGACGTCTAGGGATCTGACCTTGTTGCATCAAGCTACAGTGTGAGGTCCCTGCCTCACAGGGCCACTTGAACGTGCTATGTTCATGCTATGAGCCCCTGCTTTCCATTCTTTCGAGTACATATCCGGACATGGGCCTGCCGGTAATGCTGTGTTTCATTGGCCGAGGAGTTGCCAGACTGTTTTCCACAGCGGCCACACCATCACTAATTTCGGAACATTTTCATCACCCCCAAAAGGACCACTGTTTCCACGAGCAGTCACTCCCCGTTGCCCCCATCCGCTGGCATTTAGTCCAGTCACAAAGATGTGTAGCCATCACCTGTACGGTTCCAGAACATCACCCCGAAAGGAAAGCCCGTACTCCTTACGCAGTCACTCAACATTTCCCACCTGCCCCTCCCCGCCCCAGCCGCCCGCACCCACCCGTCGGCCAGGGACTTGCCCGTCCCCGACATCTCCTATCGGTGCCGTCGTACAGCATGCGAGCTCCTGCGTCCGGCTCCTCGCAGCCCGCCACGTCCTCCGGGTCCCTTCCTGGTGCAGCAGGGGCCAGACCTCCATCCCTCGTTCCCGCCGAGTGGCAGGCCGTCGCGCGGACACACCGCGTTCTGTCTGTCCGTTCACCTGTTGACTCCCCTTTCGATTGTTTCTACGTTTTCGTTTGTTGTGATTCGTGCTGCTCTGAGTGCCCCTAGACAGGGTTTCGTGTGGGCTATGGCCTCAGGTGCCTTGAGTAGACACCTAGGGGTGTAAACGCTGGGTGCACTTTCTCTTGTGGTCAGAGCTTTCCAGGTGCCCTTGGACAACAAGCCCAGCTTTCCAGGCTGCCAGTGGGCCCTGGAAGACCGCGGTCAAGACGCGTTCCTCTGATTCCACACAGAGCCCCTAGCCTGGCAGCGGGCACACGGCAGGCCCGGAGCGGCGCCGGGAGCCGCTCTCGCTGTGGGTGGCTGCGCCGGGGGGCGGGGGGGGGGCATAGACCTCCAGGCTTCCTCGCCCGCAGGAGCAGCCATCCTCCCGGAGCCCCCGCCTGGTGTGCTGAGGGGTCACGGCCCTGAGAGCAGGGGAGTGGGGTCATGCGCCCGGGTCTTGGTTTTACTGAGCTGCAGGCCCACCCAAAGGAGGCGATGAAGGCACCTGACCTTCGGGACCGCGTAGAGCGGAGCTGGCAGGACCCATGAGGGGGGTGCGCACCCCTGCGGAGGGGGACAGGGGCTGCAGAATTAGGCAGTTGGCAAGCGATCGGAGCCTGGCAAGCCCGGGGGCACAGCCGGACTAGGGGGACAAAGAGGGACAGAGGAGGCAGCCTGCCTGGAACACTCTGTTGAGAGGTTTGCTTTTGAGGGCAAGCCTACAGGAAGGCATCGTCAGGAGAGTCCAAGGAAGGGGCGTGAACTCAGGGGAAGGAGACTCGAGCAGGTGGAATCTAAGTGCCTGTTTGGCACCTTCGGGTGCTGCAGGGAGGCCCCTGGGGGGGCCTGGACGAGCTCCCTGGTGACTGAAGGGGCTGCGGCTCCCGGGAAGTAAACGGGAGCCGGGGAGCAAGGGGGGGCAGGGGAACCCCACCCCAGGCCTGTCTTTCCCTTCCTGGGGGAGGGGCCCCCGCCAGCGCCGCTTGCATCCACTCAGGCCCACGAAGATGGGCCGACCTGCACCCACAAGGAGGCCCCACTTCCCGGCGCCCCACCCCCCAGGGCTCCGGTCCTTGGGCCACTTCCCTGACCCACAAGCCGATCCGGAAAGCCTGACCCTCGGGCCCAGCTGGCCTAAGCACGAGCGCTGGACAGTACGCACAAGCGAGGCCACGGCAGCTCCTGCATCCGCCTTGGCGGGCGGGGGGCTCCGGGTGGGCTCCCAGAAAATCCTTCTGAGCCGCCCTTGCAGGCTCACCTTAGGAGCCAGGAGGCGAGGGCTGGGGGAGGGGGAGGTCTAAGTCCCAGGCCCAATTAAGAGATCAGGTGGGGAAGGGTTTGGGAGCTTCTAAGGTGAGGAAGCCTGGCTGATCCCGCAGGCTGGTATAAAGCGCCATGACCCCCAAGCAGCGCCAGGCCTGGCAGGCATTGGGGACAGGGTTTTCTGAAGCCATGACCCAGCGGTGGGGCCCCCAAAGGCTTGCAGGCGGGCAGCTGCAGGCCGACACAGAAGACAGCACCCAGGCGAGCGTCTTCACCTACACCAACAGCAACGCCACCAGAGGTGAGCAAGCAGGTGCCACGGAGGCCGGAACGGCCCTCCAGGGGCATGAGGCTCACGTGGCCACGTGGACGGCCCCTGGCCCCCGGCCCACCTCGGGAGAGTTCTCTTCTGCACATCGGTCCAGGTGGCCTTCTCCCTTCACCTTTACAATGCCACGAAATGGGGGGGGGGGTGGCGGTCCCTTCTGAGCACAAGAGGACACTGTGGAATATGTAATGTAGAATACGCCTTTTCAAACCACATACGCTTCCCAGACCTTTTGAGAATCCCTGTCCCAGGAATGTTCAGTAGCTATTTCCCTGTGGTCCCGTGCCGCTACTGAGCACTCACGACATTCCGTTCTGGGGTGTCTATCTGGCCGCACTGCCCTGAGCTTCCTGGGGACGAAGCTGGGTCTGACTCATTTTTGCATCTCCTGAAGCCAAAAGGAGGCAGGCGGCAGGTGGCCCGGAGGAGGGTAAGTGACTTCTCCAACCTTAGGGTCGGAAGAGACGGAACGGTCATCTTGTCCAACTCTGCATCCGGGGCCTGCAGACTTTGGCTGCACGTTCTTGGGGAGCGGGCTCGCTTGGCCCCCAGGGCAGCCTTTCCGCTGGGAGGCGTCCCAGGCAAAAGGGTACTTAGGCCCGACAGACACTTGAGAAGTCCACGAGGCGGCCCGAGTCATGCCCCGGAGGTGCGCCACTCGAAAAGCATTGCATGCGAGCCTTGCAAAGAATTGAGGACGTTAGTGACCAACCCCCGCCCCCACCCCCTTCCCCAGTCCCTCCTCCAAACCAGAGACCATCCGTTCCTTCAAGAACATTTCTCGTGCCATGGTTTCCAGAAACCACACCAGCTCCATGACAGCCAGGCCAATGGTCAGCAACAGGGTTCCCAGGCCCAACTAATTGAGAACCCTCAAGTTTGCCCTGACCTGATTGTTCATGTCCCAGAATGTCCTTGATGGCGATGCAACAGTGCCCTGCCTGGAGGCCCCTGGGCCTTCACTGATGCCTGAGATTCCTTCTTGTACCTTTTCCTCTGCAAAATTCAAGTATCTACCGAAGTGAAGGGGAGGGTGCAAGGCACCCCAGGGTATCCGTCACTTGCCTTATTTCACCTGTAACTGCCTCCACTCACCCCTCCCGGATTCCCTAGCAGGTCTAAGCCATCCCCTCATCCCCTCTGTAAATCTTCAGTATGCACGTGTAAGAGGAAAGGACTCTAAAACATAACCGCGATGCCACTGTCACACCTATAAGGTAACATTGCCTTGATAGTATCGAATCTCCTAATTGGTGTTGAAAAAAAGGTCATACTTTTTTTTCACCTTGCTTGAATCAGGGCTCCAATACGGTCCACATGTTCAGATGGATCATTATCTCTTTTTGTCCTCTTTGAATTCAGGGCTTCCCTCTCTACCTCCTTGTAATTTATTTGTCCGAGCAAATGGGTCGTCTGTGCCCGGACTTCTCCACTTCGGACTCTGCTGATGGCTTCCCGTGTGTGGCTTCCCGTGCGTGGCTTCCCATGCCCTTCCCACCTTGTCCATCGTGATGTTTCTGTACATTGGTAGTTGACCTGAAGCTCTGCTTGGAGGCCAGTGGGATGTGTTTTGGGTTTGGTTGGACCGCCTCACCATCAGGAGGGTGCCCCTTCTCTGGGGTGTTGGCAGCTGCTGAAGCCTGATGCCTGGACCCACGGAACCACCGGGGATTGCAAACTGGTGACGTTCTGACTCCCTTATCCTGTCTTCGTCTATTCGCTGCAGTCCTTTGATACAGTGAAACATGCATTTGTCTCCTCTTGGGTTCCCCCGGGGGCACAGAGTGCATGGGAAAGCAGAAGAGATGCCCAAAGTGAGCAACTGGCTCCCCAGTGGAGCCAGCTGGGTTTGACCTCCGGGCCTCCTTTCTCTCTCACTAAGAATCCTGTTCTCAAGGGCTTTGGGTAGAAGAATTAGAATATCATTCAATTACTCATTTGCTTGATAATCACACACACTCACAATGGTCTCAGAACAATGACGCCAACACCGCCATCAACAACACACTTACCCAGAGCTCAACATTTGGGCAGGTCTTTTCGTGCTGAAGGTCTGTGCCCCCGGGTCCGAGTAGTCAAACTCGTGTCCTGCCACGTCATCTAGAACAGTCCCTCTCTGTGTGATTATGCCTCTGAGTGGATACGCATTTAGGTTCATTTGTTTTATTTTTGATTTTCAAGGATTGCTTTTTAAATTTTAATGTTTTTAAATTGTGTAATAAAATATTTACAAGGTTCCAAATTAAAATCTAGAAAAGTAGGTATATTCAGAGAAATCTTGCTTCCTCGCCTGTCCCCACGCCCAGTTCCCTCCCTCCCTGAATTTCTCTGGAACACCTTCTTTCTGAAGTTAGTCCTGGGAAGTTCAGGAGGGAGGGCGGGCTGGGACCCCGGCTCTGCTTGCACAGCTAGAGGGCCCCGTGACCTCCCACATTCAGAGCAGTCCGTCCCCTCCCCCGCTGTGCACAGCCCCGTCCCTCTTGTCCCTGCCCTGTCCAATGTGGATGCCATGGGCTGTCCGGGAAGGATGTTCTGGCTGTTCAACAGCTGGAGCGACCCATACAGCCTCCAGTCCAGCTGCTGTTCTCGGACTAACCCGCCATAGTTTCCGGGCAAGATCTGTTGACAATTTGGAGGTCCTCTGTTCTCTGGTCTATCAGCAGCGCTGTGGTTTCCCTCCATTTCCTTCTGTACAGAAAGCGACAGCCCGCAGGCCTTCGGCAGGCAGAGGCCTGTGCCCAGGGGGCCTGTGCCATCTAGCATGGCTGCAGATATTGCCAGTTTCTGGGAGTTCCCCGTGAACGCGGCGAACGAGGCTCACACACAGTGTGCTGGAACATCATGGGTGCTGTGGGGTCTGGCTGTGCTGGGGGGGTGAGTTCTACCCCATCCCTCCTAGCCAGGGGACCCAAGAAAGCCCTACTCTTCTAAAAACTAGTTGAGTTGGATTTTTGTAACACACAACTGAAGTGTCCCGGTAAACATGGGGGCTCCGCTTGGGCGCTTTCCTGGGCGCTGTAAGGCCGTTCCATGCGGGCACGCGCTGGCATATTATCCCTTCAAGTATTCTGCCCAAAATGATGGCAGAAAAGGTCTTTGAGCAAGACGGGTGTAGAGCCACTGCATCATAATAAAGGGGGGTTACGCTTCCTTCACTGCGTGTGTATTTCCTAGGGCGGCTGTAACAGCACCACACACTGAGTGGCTCACACGAGAGAAGCTCCTTGTCTCCCAGACCAGGAGGCCAGCGGTCCGAGGTCCGGGCGTGGGCGGGGTTGGCTCCTTCCGGGGACCCCCAGGGAGAGTCCGCTCTCCGTCCTTCCTCCGGATTCCGGGCTGTTCCCGGCCATCTGCGGCATTGCCTGGCCTGCAGAAGCATGGCCCGGATCTCGGCCTTGATCTTCACGTGGGCTTCTCCACGCGTGCATGTCTCTGTTCAAACTACCCCTTTTCGTCAGGACCCGGTCCTACCGGATTGGGGCCCATGCTAATGACCTCATTGTAACTTGACCGTCTCTGTGCAGACCGTGTCTCCAAATGAGGTCCCATTCACGGGTACTGGGGGTTAGGACTCCGACAAATCGTTTTCATGGGGGGACGCAACTCAACCCAATACTCATTCATTCATCCATTCTCTGAGAACTGATTGTGTGTTGAACCTGCCATGTGGGATGAACGATGGGAGGTGCACGTGGGTGACTCCAGTACAGGATAGAATGTCACAGAGGCACATTGAGGTGGTAGTCCCGAGGGGTTGAGTTGACACTCAGCTGAAGAATCTGGAAAGGCTTCCAGAAGGCAGGAGGCCTGCCCATGGGGGGTGGCAAATCAGATGGGGGGGGGGTGATACCCAGTGCAGCCGATGAGGAGTTCCATTTTGTTAAGTTCAAGGATGTCTGTACGGGTGTCTGGGGGGCCATGGCCTCTGGCCTGAGAGAGGGACGGAGGGAAGGTTGTTCACAGGTGGGCAAAGCTAGAGGGAAAGAGCTGGTTGCAAAGGCAAGAGTAGCAGGCAGGAAGGCAGGAGGGGGTGAGAGGCTCTGACGAGGAAGGGAGGGGTGGGGTGAGCACAGCTGTGCAGTTGGGTGATGCTGATGCCCAGCTCCTGTCCCCACTCTGTTCCTCCTGCCTTCTAGGCCCCTTCGAAGGTCCCAATTACCACATCGCTCCCCGATGGGTGTATCACGTCACCAGCGCCTGGATGATCTTTGTGGTCATTGCGTCTGTCTTCACGAATGGGCTTGTGCTGGCAGCCACCATGAAGTTCAAGAAGCTGCGCCACCCTCTGAACTGGATCCTGGTGAACTTGGCGGTTGCCGACCTGGCAGAGACCATCATCGCCAGCACCATCAGCGTCGTCAACCAGATCTACGGCTACTTTGTGCTGGGCCACCCTATGTGCGTCGTGGAAGGCTACACTGTCTCCTTGTGTGGTAGGCCTGCCAGGGGCCCGGGCTCGGGGAAGACCCGACCTGCGTGTAAGGGAAACACACCCGCGGCACCCTCAAGGGGCTCCCATGGTGCGCATTTGAAGGGAGCCGGACCTTCAGCATGATGGCGGGGGCCATCATGGAGGGGAGGGGTCCAGGTTGCGGCAACAAGTAGGCACCCCGAGGGCCCTGATGACCCTGAGATGGGCCAGCCTGGGGCCACGCAGCCGGCATAGGAGGAGACGGATATAGCGCTTCCCCAAACAATGTGGGAAGGGAGGGCTCCGGACACCCCAAACGGAACTTCCACTCAAATCGGGCGATGTGTCCTTTCAGCTCACCCGAGTCGGCTTTTCCTAGAGAAAGAAGCCCTTCCCATTCGAGCTTTTGAGAGAGTGAAACTAGATCCCTGATCCCCGTCCGCATCACTAACATCTCTGTGGGCCGTGGCTCTGTTCCGGTCCACCTTGGCAGAGAAGAACCCATGTGCTGGGCACCAGGAGTATACGATCCCTTCCCCGAGGTAGCCCCGAGTCCCGGAAGGAGGGGTCCCTGTCCCAGACAGTGAGCACCATCGGTCGTGGCCCCATCAGCCCCCTCAGAGGACCGTGTGCTGGGGGAGACGGTGGATCGCCTCAATCTTGAGTCAGCCAGATGAGAAGGGAGCCAGGCCGAGAGGGCCCAGCAGAGTGGGGCGCGGGCAGCAGCTGGGCGGGCAGAAGGCAGGTGAGCGGCGGGCTGTTAAAGGTGGGAAAACTCAGGAGTGCGGACTTCGTTCTGGGAGGAGCCTGGCGGGAGCCGCCGGGAAGAGGCTGAGTGAGGGAGCCAAGGCCAGGCTTGCTTTCCCTGGGGCCCACGGGGGGGGGCGGACAGGCGAGCCCGGTGAGGCCGAGGTCCCATCCGGGAGCTCTTGCAGGAGCGCCCCCTGAGCGGACAGAGGGCCAATGGGTTCAGCCTGCTGCGCATCCAAGAAGACAGGGAGCCTGAGGGCCGTGGCGCCCAGCGCCTGTCTCTGGGCCACCAGCTGTCACACCACTGCAGCTCTTCCATTCTAAAAGTTTCCCAGCACTCTGGGGTCTCCATTCCTGGGATCTTAGTATCCACATCTAACTCAGGCTCATCTAATTGTCACCTAAACTGGTCCCCAATTCAGATTCTGAGGGGTGGACGTCAAGAAGAGAAAAGAAAAGAAAGCCACTAGGCCAGCCAGGGCCTGGGGAAGGCAGGGGGAGCCCGGCCCCGGGTTTGAATTGCTAGTGCCGCGACCACCACAGTTACTTTACCACACCACTCCTCCATTTTCCCATCAGTGAAATGGGGGCAGGACTTGGGGGGAGATTTAAATGAGCATATCAGACCCTCCTGACCCTATGAGGTAGGTGCCAATTCACTGTACACGGCAGGACACTGCCCACCGCCAATATCTAACTGCCTCTCATTTTACAGGTGATGGCGCAACACTCTCCCAAAGGTATAGAACGGGAGTATAGAATACATAGGAGTATTAGATACTAATAAGTGACATAGTCCTTCACTAACATTACTAGTAAATGCATCTTTTAGAAGTATTAATGATACCATTCTTTATTAAAGTATCAAATAACTGGATCTGGCCTGACAGCCACTGAAATTTCAAAGTGGTAATGAATATGGTGACATTGGGAAACGTCTGCCGCCTCTGTAAGGCGACCAAGTTCAGGCACTGCTGATGCTGCCATGCCCATAATGTAAGGCGGTGCCAAGTGTCCATTAGACTTTAGTGGAAAAAAGCTGGCCTCCTTCCTGCCCCCGTTAATGGAGCCCTAAATTCTGCACACAGCGCTCCAGTGCCTCCCTGCCCGTCTCCACCTGCCAGGTGGTGGGCAGTGGTGCTAAATCTGGAAGCCTGAGTGAACGTGCACACTGGCCGCAGGGGCGCAGGTCCTTGAGTATGTCCTGTTTCCTTGCCCTTGGCTGGGACCGCAGCACCTCAGCGTGGTCACATGGGGTGCGGGCACGGCCGTCGGAAGTTGCGTCTGCATCCGAAGAAAGGCTGGTGGCCAACTAAGAGAAAGATAGGAATCGGGGTGGTGCAGACCCAAGAGGAAAGAATGGGGAAAGAGGGCATCAGAGAAATTGACCAAAGACCCGCGGCCACCCTGCAGCTGAGCACACTTTTTGGAGAATTGGGTTTTTCACATGGGTGGGGAGCACGGCTCTTGATCTTGCAAAGTGTTGGCTGGTCTGGGGAGAAGAAGTGATGTGGGAGTCTCGGAGCCCTCACCTCCCTGCTGTCCCCCGCAGGCATCACGGGTCTCTGGTCCCTGGCCGTCATTTCCTGGGAGAGGTGGCTCGTAGTCTGCAAGCCCTTTGGCAACGTGAGATTTGATGCCAAGCTGGCCATCGTGGGCATTGCCTTCTCCTGGATCTGGGCTGCTGTGTGGACAGCCCCGCCCATCTTCGGCTGGAGCAGGTAAGGATGCCAGTATGTCAGGATGCAGCTCGTTTAGGATAGAAGGTGAAGGACGGCGGGGAGGGTCACACTCATGACTCCATTTGTAACCTTGGGATCAACTGCTTCCTGTTTCTGGGCCTCTGCGGCCCCACAAGTAGAGTGAGGATGGACCCAACTCTCCCTGGGACCCGTTTGAGGGCACAGTGTCTATGAGCCTATAAACCTGCCTGGCTATGACATGGAAGCAGGCCCTGTGATCTCTGAGCCTCTAGAAAGGTCTGTTTCTGCCAAACATGAATGGCTCATGGGAACACACAGAGAAAGGTCACAAGCTCGAGACACAGGAGCAGCTGTAAGTGAAAGCAGGGCCCTCTCACCCACTCTGCCCTAGGCCTATTTCTCGCACTTTCTGAGGGGCCTCCCTTTTAGAGGCTTGTTAGTTTGTAGGTACACCTGAGCCTATAGGTCCTTTGTGTTTGGGCCAGGCTGCTGCTTTGGGGGCTCAGATGTGATGTGTATTTTACCACAATGAAAACAGAAGGGGGGGCGCCTGGGTGGCTCAATCGGTTAAGCGTCTGACTTCAGCTCAGGTCATGATCTCACAGTTTGTGAGTTCGAGCCCTGTGTCGGGCTCTGTGCTGACAGCTCTGAGCCTGGAGTCTGCTTCAGATTCTGTGTCTCGCCCTCTCTCTGCCCTTCCCATGCTCATGCTCTGTCTCCTTCTGTCTTTCAATAATAAAAAAATGTTAATTTCAAAAAAAAAAAAAAGAAACAGAAAGGGCTATAAGACCTAAAACTGGACAAAGGGTTACCAAAACCCTGCCCAAGGCCTCTCTTTGGGGGCAGTGAAAACGTTCTGGAACTAGACAGAGGTGGTGTTGCACAAACAATACTGTGAATGTGCTATAGCTGCCATTGCTTGAATTGTTCACTTCAAAAGTGGTTGGTTAGGGGCACCTGGGTGGCTCTGTCGGTTAACTGTCCAACTCTTGATCTCGGCTCAGGTCATGGTCTCGTGGTTCGTGAGATGGAGCCCCACATCGGGCTCCGAGCTGACAACGCAGAGCCTGCTTGGGATTCTCTCTCTGCCCCTGCCCAGCCCATGAGCACACATACACTCTCTCTCTCAAATAATAATTAAATAAACTTCAACAAACGAAACGTTAATTCATGTAGTGTGAGTTTCACCATAATTCAAACAAGCCACCAGTCGCCCTCCCCAGTTGGTGGCGCGCCCAGACGGATGGGGGAGGGGGGATCCCAGGTTGCCCCGCGGCATCGGGACAGGCTGCCAGCCCTTCTGTTCAGGTATTGGCCCCACGGCCTGAAGACATCGTGCGGCCCGGACGTGTTCAGCGGCAGCTCGTACCCCGGAGTGCAGTCCTACATGATTGTCCTCATGACCACGTGCTGCATCATCCCCCTCAGCGTCATCGTGCTCTGCTACCTCCAAGTGTGGCTGGCCATCCGCACGGTGAGCGCCCCAGCCCTCCCAGCTCCGTCCCCCCACGCCCCCCACACTCCCCCCCCACCAACAGGATCCCTCAGGCTGGGACAGAGACTCTCTCTCCTGCCCTCAAAGCAGGCGTGAAGCCTCTAATTCCTCTGGGGCTGCCACTGCAGCCCTGCCTCCCTTGTCCTTGACCCGATGGGAAGGGACGATGGGAAGGGACTGTCCCCTGCTTTCTTCAGTAAGGGAGAAAGGCCCAGTAAGGGAGCAGAGCCGCATTTCTTCCCTGACCCGGACGGTCTTCCCCTGGGGAGGAAGCCTGCCTTTCCCAGGGAGTGAAGTGCAAGTGCAACCAGCCAGGTCCGCAGGTGAAACCCGCAGACCAAAAGGCTTTTTGTTTTTGAGAGGCTGCCACCAGAGCGACCTTGTCCCCTTCACGGGGCTGTGGGGGCAGGCCGAGGAGTGGCTTCACGTGCGCCCTCTGCCCCCCAGACCCGCTCTCCACTCTCCTCACTGGGAAGTTGATCCCGTCCCCAGCCATCCCCCACCCCACTACTTAGGCAATCGGAGCGGAGCGAGGCGAAAGAGGAAGAACCTTATTCGTAAGTTGTCCCCTTGTCGACCAGCTCACGTAGGATTCATTTGACCCAGATGTGCGTTTGTTCCTGTTGAGCTCCCGCTGGGCACCCGCGGTAGACGGCCCTTCGGGGCGACGCCTTTCTGATACGAAGCTGCTTGTTCCCACGATCAGAGCAACATGTGCTCATAAGCTCTTTCCAGCGTGAAGGCCACCAGCTTCCCGCCTTCAGCCCGTGATCTGCCCCCACCCTGCCTCTTCCCCCAAACCGTTGGCGGTCAGGGATCAGAAGCCACCTCGCTGGCTCCCACGGGTGTCCAGCCGTGGCTTGGGCCTTGTTAGCTCGGGGCTGTGTCCCCACCCACAGCAGACGCCGTCCAGCCTCCATGTCTTCCCCCGTTCGCCCTTCAGACCTGAGCACGGGAGGGAACACGCTGTTAAGGGACCCGATGAGGCTAAGAATGGCCTCCTTAGCTCCTCCCCAAACTCCTAATGGGAGCCAAGCCAAGAGCTCGGAAGGCCCTGGCTCAGGGCCATCTGCACCAGGGCCGGTTCTGTGCTACCTCAAAGCCTAAGCTCGGTCACGGCCGGCCGGGGCCGGCCTGAGCTGGGCTGTAGACTCCCTCCGGTGGGGGCGGGCTGCTGGCTGGCCGTCGCGGGCCCATCGCCTCCTCTCCACGGCTCCACCTCCCTGACTCACGGCCCAAGCATGGCAACACGGGGGCCCCTGATACAGAGCCCGGAGGGACTCTCCCACGCACGGTCCCTGGGCATGAATCTCTGTCTCCCCCAGGTGGCAAAACAGCAAAAAGAATCTGAGTCCACCCAGAAGGCGGAGAAGGAGGTGACGCGCATGGTGGTAGTAATGATCTTCGCCTACTGCCTCTGCTGGGGGCCCTACACTTTCTTCGCGTGCTTTGCCGCTGCCCACCCCGGCTATGCCTTCCACCCCCTGGTGGCGGCCCTCCCGGCCTACTTTGCCAAGAGTGCCACTATCTACAACCCCGTTATCTATGTCTTTATGAACCGGCAGGTAAGTCACGCCACTGGCAGAGCAAACTAGCAATTTACCCCCGAAGAGCCCAGCGATGGCTCCCCCCCTGGAATCGTGTCCAGGGAGAGGCAGTTAATGACCTCCAGGACCACGACCAGGGAAGGCTCAGCGCGTGACCCAGCCCCAGCCAGCCCTCCCCCTGGACGGTGTCACTGTGGCTTGACTGCGGGCAGTGGCACCGCGCAGCTGCCCACGTTGCAGCTCTTCGGCTTGGCTGGCCTCAGGGCTCCCCTCTCAATCTTCATCTTTCCATCTTTAAGCCCTAACCCCAACAAGGACACGGACAGGCCCTTCTCGGCTGCACTGACATGTGGCTTTGGTGACTTTATGGGTTAGTTCGAGGGGACACATTGTGGTCCTGCCCGAGGTGTCGCCACACGGTAGCCACCATGGGCTGGTATATTGAGCCTCAGCAGCAAATTGCCCACAACTCCTAGACCTCTTGGTAGGTTATAGGCGACCACTGAGGCCCATCATCCTCCAAGTGTAATTTGCCTTCTTCCTCCTGAATCTGTCACAACTACTTCACTGAGGTGTAGCTGCAATGTGTGACTTGACGGTGACCAGAAAGGTCCAGGGGCAGGACGTATGGCCCTGGCAGGGGCCTGGCATCGCGCCGGACCCGGTCCCCATTCCTTGCAGCTAGCTCTTCAGCTCCTCCATTTCCCAGTTGCTCTGAGGCCCCGCTCGCTCTGGCCTGGCCCTGACTCTGCGGAAGTTCATTAAGCACGCACTCTTTTTGTAATGTTCAGGTATTAAGCAGGACACAGTTGATCCCCCAGGACTCTGTTGTTGGCAACTCAATACCTCGAGTGTAGCTGTATCCCTGACTCCTGTTTCCTGGTTCATGTGGATCTCTTTTTAGGTCTGGCTTTTGTTTGTGGAAGCCTAGGATGTCTTGCCTTGTGCTTGTACTTGATACTTGAGTCTTTCCATTCTCCCCTCCCCAAACCCCCCCTCCTAGACAAGATGTCTGCACTTCTGGACCTCTCCGGGCTTTTGAAGTTTGCTTTCACCCTGTCCACACTGCCATCCCTTCCTGTTGCTTTCTGAGAGAAGTTTCTGTGCAGGAGCTCAGGAGGGCAGAGCGTGTTGCTCTTGTTGTCCACTGCTGACCCTCCCCCCACCCCCCACCCCCCCGAAACAGTCCAGTGCACCGTGGATGCTCAGGAGGTAGATGTCAGACGAATTCCTCAGCTAAGTCAATTGTGCTATTCGGTCCATTTCTTGCGTTACTGATTTCCATAATTATGTGTTTTATTTGTGCAAGTTTTGATGTTGGAGGGAGCTGGAGGTGGTCGAGAATTGGCCTGGAATATACAGGAGGTGCCCCTGGTCTGCATTCTCAAGACATTGGCGTTAGCTCAGTGATGAGATAGAACTTGAGAAATGAAGATATTCCAAATCTCTTTAGGGGAAGAGCAGTGGGCCCCTCTTGGTGCCAGAAGATTCTCTTGCTATAGACGTGAAGTAGTAGCTAGACTGTTGTCTAGGTAGTGCTTGCGAGGCCTCAAAATTGATGGGATAGAAACAAGATGACAATCACATTCGTCTTCACTAAAATGCCTCTGAGTCTCTTCCCAGACATTCTGGAGATGCGTCACCCTATGCATGGGCCCCTTAGACGGCATCACCTTTGGTCACTGCATACGTTCCCTAGGACTGCCATAGCAAAGTACCACAAAATGGGGGGTGGGGGTGGGGCTTAAAACAAGGGAGATTTATTCTCTCCTAGTTCTGGAGGCCAGAAGTCCGAGCTCAAGGTGTGGGCAGGGTTGTTTCCTTCTGAGGGCGAATCTCTTCCCTTCCTGTCTCCTAGCCTCCGGTGTTGCCCAATAGTCCTTGGTATCCCTTGGCTTCTAGACAAGTCACCCCGATCTCTGCCTTCACCTCCACATGACTATCTCTGAGTCTGTGTCCAAATTCCCTTCTTATAATGACACCAGTCATTGGATTAGGGCCCACTCCACTCTACATGACCTCATGGCACTGTACATCTTAACCACATCTGCAAGGACTCTATTTCCAAATAAGGTCACATTCACAGGCTCTAGTAGTTAGTCCTTGAACAGAGCTTTGGGGGTTGGGGGGCATGGTCTTACAACTTGATCCACAATAGTCACCATCAGATGCTACATTAGATGGCTTAGATGAGCAGACAGTCAGGAGTAGACCATCCCCACGTGCAAGTAAGAGCCTTGGGCTTCCACTTGTCTCTGGGTGGGATTCTGAACGGCCGTGGAGAAGGTGTTCAGTCATCAAGGTGACCCCTAGTGAATATCCCCCTCAGAATTCCCCAAGAATGACCTTTAGCATAGTACGTGGGCCCTTTCTGCTCTGCTGAGTAGCCCTTTCTGTCCTGCCAGTTTCGAAACTGCATCATGCAGCTTTTTGGGAAGAAGGTGGATGATGGCTCTGAACTGTCCAGCGCCTCCAGAACGGAGGCCTCATCTGTGTCTTCAGTGTCACCTGCATGAGTCTCTCCCAGCCATGACAACAAAAAGGTGGGCTTCCTACCAGAAAACATAAACCCTGTCCCATACACCAGCGCTTTGGCCACGCCCCCCCCTTGCCCCCCTCCATCCCTGCGCAACGAACGTAGTTTCTCTTTGCCAAAAGCAAGAAAGTTGCAGAGGCTCCCACTGTAGTCTGGGGACACCTGAGCCTCCGAGGGTTCAGCCGTGGGGTCACCAGAGGGCACGAGGGTGACAGGGAGGAGAGCAGCGCTGCACTTCAGAGGCTTTAATATTTTCCAAGCCTTGCGTCCGCAGCTTGTAAGGAAGGATCACGAAGCAGGGAGGTGTGAGGCAGGCCGGCAGTGATGGAGTCAGAGAGGAAGTGTGGAGAAGCAGCTGTCCGGGAAGGGCTGGCCGGGCGCCCTTGGCACCCAGAAGGCGGCCTGAGCCAGCAGCCCCAGCCCCTCTAGGGCCCCCGTGCTGGAGGCTCAGGTTCCCTGGAATGCCGTCTCTGTCTGGAGGGGACCCAGGCCCGCCAGGCCGCGGTGAGGGTGTGCCACCTCCTCCAGGCCAGGGCCCCAAGCCCGACGAGCAGGAGGGCAGCGGCAGCGCGCAGGCGGGAGCCCAGCAGCGGTGCGGGCCAGGCCAGGCCAGCCAGGAGGGCGGTGGCCGGCACAAGGAGCAGGCTCCTGAGCCGGAGCGCGAGCCCCTGGGGCCGGCTCCCGGGGCTGTCCGCCACCTCCAGCTGCGTTGCCCGCTGCAGAGTTTCAAGCTTAGACATACGGTTCTTGAAAGTCTCCATGACCTCCTGCGGGTGATGAGAACACAAGGCCTCCTGAGAGGTCAGAACGGACGTGCGGGCTCTTACCTGGGTTTCTAAGGGGTTTGCGGCAAATAACGGGGGGCTGAAGACTTAGGAGGGGAGTCGAGAACCTGGAGCATGTACATGCTCAGGGCTGAGTCCTGGGAGGGTGTGCGCTTGCCCGGGAACAGCGAAGGGCTCAGCTGTCTCGGCCGCGCTCTGTCATCCAGTGTGGCCTGAGACTGAGAACCCGGCCATGCGACAGCCGACCGAGGACAGGAGTAGGGTCTGAGAGTGTGGAAGAGAGCGAGCCTAACCGCCAAGGTGAGGGTAATCCCTCACCCCTGCTTGCTGACCCAGGGTCAGAAGCAGGGGTGCCCGGAGAGACCCCCGTTGGCCAGCTCCCAGGCGCCCTTGAAAGCTGCAGGGCCTCAGATGAGCTCGGCTGGGTGAGGGCGGGGAGGGGTGCAGCACGGACACGGACACTGCGCACTTCTGGCTCCCAGCCACATGTGCGAGTCACCACTGAGCCCTCCGCAGGGGCAGCCTGAGGACCGGTCCCTTCCCTTAGATCGCGGGCCATCAGAGTGGACTTGCTCATCGTTTGCCTCTCTCCTCCCTGTGTCGCCACTGGCCCTCGCCTTAAAAGCTCCCCCGTGAGTTTCTCACCCAAATTTCCTTGGCTCTCTCGTAGGACAGATAGGCCATTTTCTCTTCGGCGCAGGCCAGATTCTGTTTGAGGCGGCAAATCTCATCCAAGTGCCCCTGGACGTGCTCGTTCACCTGTTCTTGCATCGATGCTTGTCTTGGGAGCAAAAGAGAGAGTAATACTCCCTGAGGACCCTGCCCGCGGCTTGTGTGTGGAGGGGAGCAGTCCTATGTCAAGAGTGGACTTGGGTTCAGATTCCACCTTCCTCCTCTCTCCTCCTCCAGGTCGGCCTCAGAACACCAGAAACGCACACCAGCCACACACACACACACACACACACACACACACACACTGATATTCATATACCTTTCATGTACAGATCCTCTTGCAAACCAGCTTTACAAAACTAGCCATAGACCAGAAGTTGTGGAAATGAAAATCTAAGTTATCCGTGCCTGCTGTTAAATCCCATATAAATCCCCAGCATCAGTGTTTGGCAAGCAGCAATCATTCCATACAAATCCGTCGGTTACAGGGATGGAGCGGTCACAAAAGACCACATGTTGTGTGAGTCCATTTATATGAAACGTCCAGAAGACGCAAATCCATAGAGATGGGAACAGATGAGTAGTTCCTGGCAGCCGAGGGTGGGGAGCGAGTGGGGAATGACTGCTCATGGGGTGGGGTTTCTTTTTGGAGTGATGACAATGTTCTGGAATGAGACAGTGGTGATGGTTGCAAACTGCATGAATACACTGAAAACCACTGGTTGTAAATGGGTGAATTTTATGGGGATGTGAATTATATCTCAATAAAGCTGTTGCTAAAACAAAAACAAAAACTTGAATTGCGGCAATGGTCGTACAACTTAGCAAATGTACTCACAGTCATTGAAACATCTAGTTAAAATGGTGCGTTTCATGGCATGTAACTTATATCTCAGCAGACCTCTTTAAAAACACAAACAGAACATCACTAACCAGTTGTTTATGGCTATGTGTAGAAGTTGTAAAAGTATAAAAACATGCATGAAAAAGATAAGGTCCCAATGAAGATAGCGAGATGGGTGGAAGGGGGGTGGGGTTGGGAAGGGATAGTGTGAGAGCTCAAGTGAACCTTCTAAAGGGCGCCCGACTTCGGCTCAGGTCATGATCTCACGGTTCGTGGGTTCAAGCCTCTCATCAGGCTCTGTGCTGACAGCTCAGAGCCTGCAACCTGCTCTTGATTGTGTGTCTCCCTCACTTTCTGCCCCTCCCCTGCTTGTACTCAGTTTCCCTCTCTCTCTCTCTCTCTCTCAGAAATAAACATTAAAGTTTTACTTCTTAACAAAATAACATTTGAAGCAAATTTGGTAAATGTTAAGATTTGAGAAAGCTGGGGGTAGGTATACAGCGCTGATCATGTTATCCTCTACATTCTCCCTGGGTTTGGAATATTCCATAAACTTCGAGGTTCTTCATTTGGGCACCAGGAAGGATGGGCCAGAGGACAGAGGCCATGTGGCTTTTAGCACCGTCGTTTAGGGAAGAGCCAGGGAACGCTTGTCCCGTGGGTCGAGGACGGTGCTCCTGGAGAAGCAGAAAGGTACTGGAGACAGAGTGGCCGGGGGGGGGGGCGGGACACAGCGACGGAGAATGTGGTGGATCCGTTCACGTGGCTCCGGCGTGCACAGTAACATAACCGATGGTGCTGTCGCGCAGACTGGAAATATGAGGCAAGGGGACGGTTTGGACCTGCTTCAAGGACTCGACTGACACCCAGATGCAGATGTCCCCCAGGCATTTGTTGAAAGCCAGTTCATCAGGAGCCAGTTCATAGCAGCATTTCAAATGCTTAACCGACTGAGCCCCCCAGGCGCCCCAAGAATAGGTATTAACTCTTCTTTAAATGCCTGGGGGGCGCCTGGGGGGCTCAGTTGGTTAAGCATCTGACTCTTGGTTTTGGTTCAGGTCATGATCTCACAGTTCGTTGAGTTCAAGCCCCAAGTCAGGCTCTGTGCTGACAGCTCAGAGGCTGGAGCCTACTTCAAATTCTGTGTCTCCCTCTCTCCATGCCCCTCCCCTGCTCATGCTCTGTCTCTGTCTCTGTCTCTCTCTCTGTCTCTCTCTCTGTCTCTCTTTCTCTCTCTCTCAAAAATAAACATTAAAAAATTTTTAATACAAAATAAATAAATATCTGGTAGAATTCCCCTGAGAAGCCTTCTGGCCCTGGATTTTTGTTTGTTGGGAGATTTTGATTACTGATTCAATTTCTTTGCTGGTTATCGGTCTGTTCAAATTTTCTACTTCTTCCTGTTTCAGTTTGGTAGTTTATATATTTCTAGGAACTTATCCATTTCTTCCAGATTGTCCAGTTTGTTGGCATATAATTTTTCATAGTATTCTCTTATAATTGTTTGTATTTTTGTGGTGTTGGTTGTGATCTCTCCTCTTTCATTCATGATTTTATTTGGGTCCTTTCTCTTTCCTTTTTGAAAAGTCTCTCTAGGTGTTTTTCAATTTTATTAATTGTTTCAAAGAACTAGCTCTTAGTTTCATCAATCTGTTCTACTATTGTTCGTTTGTTTCTATATCAGTTATTTTCCCTTTAATCTTTATTATGTCCCTCCTTCTGCTGTCGTTAGGCTTTATTTGCTGTTCCTTTTCTAGCTCCTATTAGGTTTAAGATTAGGTTGTGTATTTAAGACCTTTCTTGCTTCTTGAGGTAGGCTGGTATTGCTATATACCTCTCTCTTATGACCACCTTTGCTGTATCCCAAAGGGTTTGGACTGTCGTGTTTTCATTTTCATCTGCTTCCATGCATTTCTTTTATGTCTTCTTGAATTTCCTGGTTAACCCACTCATTCTTTAGCATGTTCTTTAACCTCCATATATTTGTGGTCTGTCCAAATGTTTTCTTGTGGTTGACCTCAAGTTTCATAGCATGTGGTCTGCAAATATGCGTGGTATGATCTTGATCTTTCTGTACTTGTTGAGGTCTGATTTGTGTCCCAGTAGGTGACATATTCTGGAGAATGTTCCATGCGCACTCGAGAAGTATGTATATTCTGCTTTAGGATGAAATGTTGTAAATATATCCGTTAAGTCCATCCGGTCCAGTGTGTCTTTCAAAGCCGTTGTTTCCTTGTTGATAGTCTGCTTAGGTAATCTGTCCATTGCTGGAAGTGGGGTGTGAAGTCTCCTAGTATTCTTGTATTATCATCAATGAGTTTCTTCATGTTTGTTATTCATTGACTTACATGTTTGGGTGTTCCAAGTTGGGGGCATAAATATTTACAGTTGTTAGGTCTTCTTATTGGATAGACCCCTTAATTATGATATAGTGCCCTTCTTCATCTCTTGTTACAGTCTTCAGTTTAACATCTATTTGTCTGATATAAGTATGGCTACTCCAGCTTTCTCTTGATGTCCATTAACGTGATAGATGGTTCTCTATCCCTTCACTTTAAATATAGAGGTGTTTTTAGGTCTAAAATGAGTCTCTTGTAAGCAGTATATAGATGGGTCTTTTTTTTAATCCATTCTGATAACCCATATCTTTTGATTAGAGCATTTAGTCCAGCAAACGGACCACTCCAGAAAATGCTCTTACAAAGAGAAAATGACGAGCAGCCAGCCAAAATGCCCCCCCAAATCTTCCAAAGCTGTGAAGCCTGCCCTTTCTAATATAAATTGTCCTGAACGTTATTGTTGTTGAAGAAGAGCATATTCTTTTTTTTTTTTAAGTTTATTTTGTTTTGAGAGCGGGAGAGAAAGCGTGAGTGGAGGAGGGGCAGAGAGAGAGGGAGGGAGAGAATCCCAAGCAGCCTCCACACTCAGTGCAGGGCCTGATGGGGGCTTGATCTCCTGACCTTGAGATATGACCTGAGCCAAAATCAACAGTCGGATGCTTAAGCGGCTGAGCCACCCAGGTGCCCCAAAGAAGAGTATATTCTTGATCATACCTGAGCGCTGGCTTTTGGCAAACTGAGCTAGAAGCTAGCGGCCTGCAGCTTCGAGAAGTCTGAGATGAAGAAACAGCTGTTGGGGGAGCAAGCCCTGCAGGTAGGGTGGGGAACGCAGCAGGGGTGGGGTAGGCCCTCCTGAGCCACTGTGCAACCACGGCATACTCACAGGAGGGAAGCGGAGGGAGCATTTACACAGAGAAGGGGGCCGTATGAAAACAGAGCAGAGAGACATGTGAAGATCCTGCCCTTGAAGATGGGAGTGATGTGGCCACAAGCTAAGGGTCCCGGCAGCCACCAGAAGCTCGGGTACCAGAACGTCCATAGCAGCTCTATTCATAACAGCCCTGAGCAGCAGCAGGTGAGCGAGTAAACTAACCATGGCGCATCCGTACGATAGAGTTCTGCTGAGCAAGAGTGATCCGTGCCTACGCACAACTTGCATGAATCTCAGAAATACTACACGGGGTGAAAGAAGACAGACACAGATGACTGCCTACTGTATGATTCCACTTACATGAAGTATCCAGAAGAGATAAATGCAGAGAGACAGAAAGCACAGTGGTGGTCACCAGGGGTTGGGGTAAGGTGAATGGGGAGTGGTGGGGTGTTCTTCTGGAGTGAGGAAAATGTTCTGGAACCAAATATAGGTGGTGGTTACACAACATTGCAAATGTACCAATTGCCAGTGGATTGCACATTTTAAGATGGATAATTTTGTTTTGTGAATTTCATCTCAATTCAAAAATAGAAAAGGGGCACCCCGGTGGCTCAGGCATTGAGCATCTAACTTCGGCTCAGGTGATGATCTTGCAGTTCATGAGTTCAAGCCCCACATCAGGCTCACTGTCAGCACAGAGCCCACTTCAGATCTTCTGTCCCACCACCCTCTGTGCCCCTCCCCCACTTGCAGTCTCTCTCAAAAATAAATAAAACATTTTTATTTTTTTACTTAAAAAAATTTTTTTTAACGTTTATTTATTTTTGAGAGACACAGATCACGAGCTGGGAAGGGGCAGAGAGAGGGGGAGACACAGAACCCAAAGCAGGGTCCAGGCTCTGAGCTGTCAGCACAGAGCCTGATGCAGGGCTCGAACTCACAAACTTCAAGTTCATGACCTGAGACAAAGTCAGAAGCTTACCCGACTGAGCCACCCAGGTGCCCCTAAATAAAACACTTTTAAAATGTTTAAGAAAGAAAGAAAGCCCTCTTGAAAGGAAACAGATGTACCTGTGAGAAGTGTCCTAAGACTTTTCAGTTTGAAACCTCAGTTTGTGACGCACCAGAGGAGAGGTGACAACCACAGGGGTCACACAGGTGACAACCTGTGTGGTCACCAGGTGACACTTTACTGACTTCAACACATAGGTCATGTCTGCGTCTGGCTCACATAAAGGGTTTTTAAAAGATTGGAAGGGGGGCACCTGGGTGGCTCAGTCGGTTAAGCGTCCGACTTCCCCTCAGGTCATGATCTCACGGTTTGTGGGTTTGAGCCCTGCATCAGGCTCTGTGCTGACAGCTCAGAACCCGGAGCCTGCCTCGGATTCTGTATCCCTCTCTCTCAGACCTTCCCCTGCTCACACTGTCTCTCTCTCTCTCTCAGAAATAAATAAAAAACATTTAAAAATTAAAAAATATATATTAAAAAAAATAAAAGATCGGAAGGAGACATACGTTTTAAAAACTTCAACGAATTCCTGTGTCCCCTTCGCCCTAGATTAGGAAGCCACATGCCCAGGACATGTTGACCTGCTCTCAGGCTTGTGCCTCTCTGAGACTCCGTTTCCCCATCTGTAAAGTGGACGGCTGAACACCACAGGTAACAATGCTACTTGCTCCCTGCTGTCACTGTTATTATGTAAAGCCGCCTCCCGCCCACTCTCCACGTCTCCTGGCAAATCTGAGCCCGCAGACCTGCTTTGCTGCTTCTAACGCAGATCCGCCAAGCTAGGCTACCTGCTGCGGCCGACGGGCAGAGCAGCTCCGAGGCGAACGCCATGGCAGCTCGCTGCACGCTCCTGTCACCGTCCAGTGGGGGTGGGGGCCGCCGTTGCAGAAGTGCAAGCTTTCGGTATTCGTGGGGAAGCGGGGGACGGAGATGACCCTGCCCCCCCGCACCGCGGGCACAGCCTGATTGCTGAGGGGTCGAGGGCTTACGGGAGCACAACAGTCCTGGTGGCCCCGGGCAGGATGGGAACTTACAGGGACATGTGTCACTGCCACTGAGCTCTAGTCTTGCTTTATAGACATGCACCCTCGGAAATGGTATTTTGATGGAGCAGAGGGGTCGTCAGGAATCCCAAGAGCCGAGTTCGGCTGCCCTGCCCTACGAACCTCACTCGCAAAGGAAACCGGTAATTCTGACGGGCAGTCTTATTTGACACTGGACTGCCCCGCGGTAGTTTTGCGTCGTCCTTCGCAGACTTGTCAGGCAGTGTCCACACAGGCCAGGCTTCCCGCTGAAAGCAGAAGAGGACTCCCTCCCGAGCGCCTCGCGCGCGCACACCCGGCGCTAGGGGAGCGGCGTTCTTACTTTCCTGGGAATCGTCTCCGGCCGGCCAGTTGGAAGGATCTGCGCTAATGCGAGAACCCGAGGCAACGGAGTGTGCGGACCGGGGGGCGGGGGGGGGGGGGCAGCGCGGCGCCCTGAGGGCTGATAGGGCCCCAAGAAAGGTCCAAATAGGAACGGTGCAGGGCCTTCGAGAGGCTGAGTTTGCCTCCCCCCCCATTTGTGGGCCCTAGTCTTGTCTTGGATAAAAATAAGTGTGACCCACCACGCCGTGGGGAGAAAGCACTCGCCAGAAGGCAGTCACTTTCAGAAGGAATATCGCGAGTAGGACCACTTGCCCAGCTCAGCCATGAGCACAGGTGGGGGGGGGGGCATGGCTGGTAAGGCGTCCTGCTTCCCACGTTATTCTCACAGCCGGGGACCTGCAGGGCCCCTCCCTCGCAGGTAACGGGTGACCTGCCAGGCTCCCGCCACCACAGGGAGAGCCTACAGCTTCTGCGGCCACCTGGCGGGACACTGAGCTGGCGCCTCTTTTGCCAGGAGAGGACCCGGGCGGGGGAGGGGCAGCGGGCGGGGGACGCGCCCTCTCCACTGCGGGGCCGGGTGCCCGGAGGAACTCTGCCCTCTCCTCCCCTCCCCCTCCCCCTGACCCTCCGAACCCATGTCCTCGCCCCCCTTCACTCTGCTGCCCACAGTCCGGCCAGGGGAGGGGGGGAGGGGCTGACCCCACAGCCAAGGCTGCAGGAGACAGGCCACCTCACCTGCGTTTCTCTTCCTGCAGGGACTCCAGTGACACCCGCAGGTCCATCAGATGACTCTCCTTCAGGCGCTGATAGGCCCCCTGGAGGCCGAGGTGGAGCTCCCTGACCTCTCCCAGGTCTTCCCTCACCGTCCACAAGAGCTCGGCCCGCTGCTGGGCCGCACGCTTCGGCCCCGGGGCCTTGCCCGGCTGCAGAGCCGGGAAGCCACTGGCCAGGGGCGAGTGTCGGACCACACCAGACTGCTCGGCGGGCAGGCGGGCTTCCCCACCGGGCCTGGGCGGCTCTGAAAGCGGGGCCTTCTCCCCGGGCCGCCTGCAGGGCTGCGGGCCGCTTTCCGCCTTCTGCGCGAGGCCCTTGGGCCTCCAGCCCCGCTGCAGCTCCTGCAGCTGCCGATGACAACGGCGGAGCCTTCGCTCGATCCGGGCAATGGCAGCGGAGGCGCGCTGGTTCAGCTTCTCGAAGGCCTGCCGGACGCGGGGGGCCCGGTGCCGGTCAGCTTTAGACACCAGCTTGAGGTAGCTCACGGTGCGCTCGTCCCGACTGGCCTTCTCCGCTCGCAGCTGCTCTGAGAGGAAAAGGATGCGGCGCCTGATGGTGTCCTGTAAGTTCCGGGCCAGCTCCCCGTCGCACAGGCCGGAATGGCCACTGGGGCCGTCCTCGTCGGATGAAAGGGACCCGCACGAGGGAACGTGGGAGGGAACGGCGGCGCCTGGGCTCTGCGTGTGCCCTGCCTGCATGGGGAAACAAGAAATCATTACTCGGCAGTTCTGTGGGGGGCAGGCGGTGGAACTGGACATGTTGTCACCTCCCTCTGCCATAACACTGACGTGTGGGGGCGCCTGGGTGGCTCAGTCGGTTGAGTGTCCGACTTTGGCTCAGGTCATGATCTCGCGGTTCGTGGGTTCGAGCCCCGCATCGGGCTCTGTGCTCACAGCTAGCTCAGAGCCTGGAGCCTGCTTCAGATTCTGTGTCTCCCTCTCTCTCTGACCCTCCCCTGCTCATGCTGTCTCTCTCTCTCTCAGAAATAAAAAACATTTTGAAAAATTTAGAAAAAATACTGACATATAGGTACAGACACCGACGTGCACTCAAGATGGGCCGAACACCAACTGGAGAGGTCAGGTTCAACTTCCAGGCCCCTCTCCCTTTCTTTTCAGCACCCCCATTTTTTTTTAGTAATCTCTACACCCAACATGGGGCTTAAACTCAGCCCTGAGCTCAAGAGTCGCACACCCCTCCAACTGAGCCCCTGACATTTTGCTGTCCGACCAGACCTCACTAGAACCCCCAGATGGCTAGAATCCTCCCCTCCACGCCTGTCCTGTCTGTTCTTGGACTTCTTCTCTTCCCAAAAGTACCAACTATATTGGTATAGATCTTATTTTATATCGAACTATTCTTATAAAGTATGGAACAAGCTCATTCCCATCAACCCATATGTCTTGTCATGTTGCTTCCACCAGGCAGATCAAAGAGGGAGACAGGGCGATCTGCATCCTGCTTGCTTCTTCCCTCGTTTAGTCATTCATTCAACACGCTGTTGCTGAGCACCTACCACTGGTAGAGAGGCCAGCCACATTCCTTGCTCATAAAGAGCTAACAGTCAAGGTTGGGGGAAAAAAATATTGTGATGCAAATGAATGCATCTTTCATACGGGCAAGTTAAGAAACCACTCAGAGGGTCAGTTTTCTCATCTTTAAAACAGAGATGGCCATAGTAGCACAGCTGGGACACAGTGGACCAGGGCAGAGTGGCTGGTGATGAGCTAGGAGAGGTAAGTGAGGTCAGGCGGAGTGGCCCCTGGCTGGCTCAGTGGGCAGAGGGGGTGACTCTTGACCTCAGGGTTATGACTTGGAGCCCCTCATTAGGTGTAGAGGTTACTTTAAAATCTTGGGGCGCCTGGGTGGCTCAGTTGGCTAAGTGTCCAACTTTGGCTCAGGTCATTATCTCACTTGTGAGTTCGAGCCCCGCATCGGGCTCTCTGGTGTCATCACAGAGCGCACTTCAGATCCTCTGTCCCCGTGTCTCTCTGTCCCTCCCCTACTTGTGCTCTTTCTCCCCCTCTCTAAAAAATAAATAAATAAATATATATGTATTTTTTAATTTAGGGGTGGCTGGGTGGCTCAGTTGGTTGAGCATCTGACTCTGGCTCGGGTCATGATCTCACAGTTCATGAGTTAGAGCTCCACACTTGGCTCTATGCTGACAGCTTGGAGCCTGGAGTCTGCTTCAGATTCTGTGTCTCCCTCTCTCTGTGCCCCTTCCCTGTTTGCACTCAGTTTCTCTCTCTCTCTCTCTCTCAAAATTAAATAAACATTAAAATTTTGTTTAAGACTTTAAAACTTTTATATAAAAATAAAAATATAATATTTAAAAAATAACAGGTAGAGCCTCTGTTCTGTTTCTACTCTCTGTTTTAATTTTTTAAATGTTTATTTATTTTTGAAAGAGAGAATGAGTAGGGGAGAGGGCAGAGAGAGAGGGAGATAGAGGATCCAAAGTGGGCTCCTCGCTGAAAGTGGAGCACCCAAGGTGGGGAGGCCCAACGTTTAACCGACTGAACCACGCAGGAACCCCTCTGTTTCTGCTTTTTCACTGTAAAAGCCTTCATGACCATTTTCAATCTGAAAATGATTTCATGGTGGTAGATCAGGAGTGATTATATTATAATACATACCTAGGTTCTGTGTCATTTTTTGGTATGCAAATCATACCTTGATTTAAAAACTGTGATACCACTATGCACCTAGCAGACTGGAAAAACCCAGGCTAATAATAATAAATGTTGGCAAGGATATGGAGCAACAGGAACGCTTCGTCACTCCAGGCGGGGCCGTCGTTGGTACCGGCACTTTGGAAAAGCACTGGTAAATGGTAAAGTTGAAGACACGCACACCAAACGGCCCGGCGACTGCTGGTGCCCTAATGTTCCCAACAGCCAACTGCTAGCAATCACCCATCTGCCCATCAGTAGTAAAAGGTGCAAGTGACCTGCAAAATACTCGACAACGAACTCCTATACGGCAATGAAAATGAACTACAGCCTTGAAAATATGAACGAACAAACATAATGTTGAACAAAAGAAGGTAGACACAGAAAAATCCATACTATATACGGTTTCATCATGTAAAGTTCAAAAGCAGGCAAACCAAAATGATGTTGTTTAGGGACAACAGACAATAAAGCTATAAAGAAAAGCATGGGCATTGGTAGCATAAATGTCAGGATAGTGGCTCCCAGTAAAGTGGGAGAAGGGGCCGTGATTGGGAGAGACAGGTGGAGGCCAAGGTGCTTAACCTGAATAGTAGTTACACGTGTGTTCACATTATTGCCTGAAATGTATGTTTTCTGTGCCTTTATGTACACATGCCAAGCTTCATATTTGTATTTAAAATGTTCAATAGATGGATGTAATAGCACATCAGAAATAGCTGGAGAGAGAATTAGTAAATTGTAAAATAGAGCTAAAGAAGCATCCAGAATGCAACACAGAGGCACAAGGAAACAGAAAATTTGAAAAAAAACATATTGAAAGATAGAAGACATGGAAAATAGAATGAGAAAGTCTAATAGAACGAGGGAATGGCAAAATTTTAAGAGATAGTCACAAACAACTTTCCGGAACTGATAAAAGACAACACAAATTCAAGGATCCCAATAAATCCCAAACAGGGAAAGAGAAATAGAACCACATCTAGACACAAGGTTTTAAAAGCACACAGATTTATGGGGGCTCCTGGGTGGCTCAGTCAGTTCAGCGTCTGACTCTTCATTTCGGCTCAGACCATGATCTCATGGTTTCATGACTTGAGCCCTGCATTGGGCTCGGTGCACTGACAGTGCAGAGCCTGCCTGGAATTCTCTGTCTCCTCTCTCTGCCCCTTCCCTGCGCGCTCTCTCTCTCTTTCTTTCTCACTCTCTTTCTCTCAGTCTCTCTCAAAAAAAAAAAAAAAAGCCAGATTTAAAAAGCTAATTACCTTTAAAACCATGACGTTTACACTAAAGCTGACTTTTCAACGGCATTAATGAAATCCAGAAGAGCTGAGTGATATCTTCAATATGCTAAGAGAGTAACTGTCAGAGAGAAGAAAAAAATAGGTCATATTCAAATAATTGGGCGTCAGAATGTTTTCAGATTTTTAGCAAAGCACTGGGAACAATGAAGTAATGCCCCCAAACTGGTGGGGGGGGGGTGATTTTCCAACCTGGAATTCTATACCCAAACTGCCTATTGTGAGATGAGACTAAAGAGATGAAAGAACTGAAACAGTTTACCTTGTCTGCATTCTTTCTCTGGGAGCTACTAGAGAGAGAGCATCACCCAAACCAGAGAGGAACCTAAGAAAGAGGTGGAGATGGGATCGATGGGACAGGTCAAAAGGAAGCAAATGATATCTCCAGGATGACAGGAGGGGAGCCCGGGCTAGTGGCTGGAGGGCAAGTTCAAAGGCTCCAGGAGAGAACGCTCTGAGGGAATGAAATGCACGACTGCTGGACCTCTTTAACCAGCGGAGAGGAGATGTGGACAGTGGCGGGGGTGGGGGGGAGTGCTGGCCTATGGAAAGGAGCAGACAACAGGAAACAGGGGGGCGAGGGGATGGGGAGGGAGGCAACTGTTAACTCTACGGTAAACAAAACATTGGGAGAGAAAAGAAAAGTCATCAGAGTGATGACTCAGTTATGACTAGTGTTTCCGCGGACTTGATAATGCGAACACCAAAATGTGATCTAACGCTGGTCATTGTATACTGTATTGGGGGGAAAATTTGGAGGGTGTGTGTGACAAAGAGCTACACTGTCATCTTCTATAGTGGAAAAAAAACAATAATTCTTTAAATTTTTTAAATGTTTTTTATTATTTATTTTTGAGAGAGAGAAAGAAAGAGTGTGAGCAGGGGAGGGTCAGAGAGAGAAGGAGTCACAGAATCCGAAGACAGGCTCCAGGCTCTGAGCTGGCTGTCAGCACAGAGCCTGACCTGAGCCGAAGTCGGACACTTAACCAAGTGAGCCACCCAGATGCCCCACGATAATTCTTAAAATATAAAAATGAAAACTAGCACTACGAACTATTTAGGGAATTGGAGCTAAATGCCAAAAGAAACCGCTAAAAGAGTTGAAAGTGGTTGATTCTCGGTAGTGGACAATTTGTGGGTGGAAACCAGGGATTGACAGTTTTGCAATCAACCTTGTAGAAGCATTTAACTCTTTGAAGCAAGAGTTGGCCCAACTACGGCTTGGTTTTATACAGGTGTGAGCTAAGATTGGTTTTTACATTTTTAAATGGTTGAAAAAATCAGAAGAGTATGTTGTGACGCGTGACAATACAGACGATTCAAATGTCGGTGTCCATAAACAACTACCTGGCACACGGCCCCACTCGTTCATGTATGTGTCGTCTGCGGCTGCATGTGTGCCACAAAAGCGGCCTAGCCAAGCAGCTGCAACAGACACCTCATGCTCTCAAATATTTAGTATCTGGGGGCACCTGGGGGGCTCAGTGGGTTGAGCGTCCGACTTCGGCTCGGGCCATGATCACATGGTTCGTGGGTTCGAGCCCCGCATTGGGCTCTGTGCTGGCAGCTGGCTCAGAGCCTGGAGCCTGCTTTGGATTCTGTGTCTCCCTCTCTCTCTGCCCCTCCCCTGCTCATGCTGTCTGTCTCTCAGAAATAAATAAAACATTAAAAAAAATCTACTATCTGAATCTTGACAGGAAAAGTTTGCTGACCCCTGCTTTAAACTGGGTTCATATAAACCGTAGAGAGATAAAAGAACAAAATAATTGTTTACTTAAAAATGAAGTTGGGGGCACCTGGCTGGCTCAGTCGGTGACTCTCGATCTCTGGGTTATAAATTGAAGCCCCCCATTGCATATTGCGTGTAGAGATTGCTTAAAAATAAAATCTTTAGGGGTGGCTGGGCAACTCAGTCAGTTAAGTGTCCGACTTCAGCTCAGGTCATGATCTTGTGGTTCATGAGTTCGAGCCCCGCATCGGGCCTTCTGCTCTCAGCACAGAGCCTGCTTTGAATCCTCTGTCCCCCTCTCTCTCTGCCTGTCCCCTGCTCACACTTTCATGCTCTCTCCCTCTCAAAAATAAACATTTATAATAATAAAATCTTAAACAAACAGGGGCACCTGGGTGGCTCAGTCAGTTGAGCGTCTGACTTTGGCTCTGGGCATGATCTCATGGTTCGTGGGTTCGAGCCCCACGTCAGGCTCTGTGGTGACAGCTCAGAGCCTGGAGCTGCTTCAGATTCTGTGTCTCCCTCTCTCTCTCTGATCCTCCCCTGCTCATGGTCTCTCTCTCTCTCTCGGTCTCTCAGAAATAAATAAAAAACACTTTTAAAAATGAAAAAAAAGAAAAGCAAAAAGGCAACATTTGGGTCTTGGTTCAAACAGTTAAAAGTATCTCAATATTTTTATTTTTTTAAGGGTTTTTTTTTATTTATTTCTAGAGAGAGAGAGAGCGTGAGCAGGGGAGGGTCAGAGAGAGAGGGAGTCACAGACTGAAACAGGCTCCAGGCTCTGAGCTGGCAGTCAGCACAGAGCCTGACGCGGGGCTCGAACCCATGAACCGTGAGATCATGACCTAAGCAAAAGTCGGACGCTTAACCGACTAAGCCACCCAGGAGCCCCAAGTATCTCAATATTTTTAAAAAGCAGCAAGTTGAGAAAAAAAAAAAGATTTGCCGGATGTCCAATAGAGAACAGTCTAATCAACAGGATTCGTACAGAATCCCTACAAATTAGGAAGCTAAGACAACAATCCAATATAGAAACAGTAAAGGACAGTAGTAGACAATTCATAAAGGCCAAACTTCGAAGCGCAAGGAGGAAAAAAGGGTTTGCTGAGCGATCCGGCAAGATCGAATAAAACCTTCCACGCACGCACCCTTTGCGCGAGCAAGAACGCGGGCGCCGCGTTCACGGACACTCGGGGGCTCTCAGGACGGGCGGTTTTGGACTCAGGTGCTCCCCAGCAGCTGAACTTGGGGTTGTGGAGATGGCGCAGCCGGGGGGGGGGGGCACACCGGTCCTTGCAAGATCATCGCAAAATCAGAGGGCACAGCTGTCAGGCTCCGGGGAGCTCACAGAGGTCAGGCTCCCCGACGAAGCTGCAGGCTGGCATCGGCCTAATGCCACCCCAGCCCCCACCAGTCGCAAAGGGCGTGCGGCTTGCCCCGTACAGAAGGTTTCAGAAAGAGAAAGAGGTCGGCACAAAGACAAGGCATGCCTCGTCTGCTGAGAAGCCCGTACCTCGGGGGTGAGGGTAAGGGACCAACAAAGGGTAAAACTCCATGGTGGCTTTTTTTAAAATATTATGATACATTACATAAAACATAAATTTCACCATCGTAACTCTTTACAGTGTGTGAAGAAGTCTCGTTTACATACACCAGGTGGTGAAACGATGGCAACATCTAGTTGCAGAATTTTTTTTGTATCACCCGAACAGTAGACCCTGGACCCCTGGCAGAGGCAGACCTCTTTGAATTGATAGCACAAAGGAATATATAAAGAAGTTAAATTATTTCAATTAATGTCCCACACACACAAGGAGAAAAGTTCAAAATCCATTGAGCGGAGGGGGTGGAGCGCGAGGGGGAACTGGCGCGTGCAGGAGGCGTAACGCAACACGCATTGCCGAGCGGAGGGGGCGGCGCGTGAGGGGAACCGGCGAGCGGAGGGGGCGGTGCGCAAAGGGAATTGGCGCGTGGAGGGGGCGGCGCGTGAGGGGAACTGGCGAGTGGAGGGGGCGGCGCGCGCAACTAATTGGAGCACGAGGGTGGCGCGTGCGTAGGGATTTAGCACAACGAGGGAGGGGCGTGCGTAGGGATTTAGCACGAGGGTGGCACGTGCCTAGGGATTTAGCACGATGGGGAGGGGCGTGCGTGGGGATTCAGCACGAGGGTGGGCGCGTGCCTAGGGATTTAGCACGAGGGGGAGGGGCGTGCGTAGGGATTCAGCACGAGGGTGGGCACGTGCCTAGGGATTTAGCACGAGGGGGAGGGGGCGTGCGTAGGGATTCAGCACGAGGGTGGGCACGTGCCAAGGGATTTAGCACGAGGAGGGAGGGGCGTGCGTAAGGATTTAGCACGTGGAGGGGCGGAGCTGGTAGCCGCACGGCACCGAATCCCACACGCTCCACGAGCATTCTTCGCGGCTTTGCTCCTCAGACGCTGAGGTGCTGGCAGCTATGGCGGACGCTGGTGCGAGCGCGGCGATGGCCGAGGAAGAAACCAAGCCCGACGCGAAGACCCTGCAGATCCTGCGGGATATGGCTAATCGCCTGCGCGTAGACTCCATCAGGGCTACCTTTGCTTCGAGTTCAGGGTAGGCTTTCCCCATCCGAGGCCTCGTCGCGGCCGGCCGCATGGCGACCGGCCACATGGCGGCCGGCGCGTGAGGTGTAGGATGTGCCGTCGGGGGTAGGGGGGCTGGGTGGGCTCGGTCGTGGAATCCCCTTTTGGGGCCGCGGGGGGCATGGACGTCCCCGCTACGGGCCCGCGGGACCGGCAGGGAGGAGTCCCGGGTACGGCCTCAGGCCAGCGCAGGGAGGGGGTGCGCGGCCATGGCGTTCTCTGTGTGCGGCTGCCCTTTATGTCCCGGCGGCTGCCGAGGACTCTCGGGTCCTCTGGTCGCGGGTGCTCGCTTTCACGTGAGGCGCGCGGGCGGCGGGGCGGCTTGCGTTCCCCTCAGGTTTTTGGAAGACTCTGAGGGGGGTCGTGCTCGGGCTTTAAATTCACCAGGGAGGCCATTGAGGCCAAGATTTCCTGTGTAGAGAGGCTTGTGACTCGTGGTTCAATCTTACTAGTTAGTTACTGGGGTATTTCGAATCTCTAGTTGATCCTCCGTGTTCTTAAATTTTCTGCTTCTAGAAACTTCTCGGCCGTTAGCCGAGTTACTGGCGTACAGTTCTTCACAGTACTGTATGTTCGGTTGGTAGTACTGCTCTTGCCCTCATTTTGGAAATGAAACCGGTAACTTCAGATCTGAGTAAATTTGAAAATTCTCTTTTGGTTAATCTTTTTAAAGATTTGGGTTTTGTTGATTTGTTCTACCAGTTTTCTTGGTCTCTGATTCTGCTCTAACCTTTATTACTCTTTCTGGTAGCTGTAGGCTTAGTTTTTCTAGTTCTTACACTATACAGTTAGGGTTTTGATGTTCTTTAAAATTCTTATGTTTAGGGGCGCCTGGGAGGCTCAGTCGGTTAAGCACCCGACTTCGGCTCAGGTCATGATCTCGCGGTTCATGGGTTTGAGCCCCGCGTCGGGCTCTGTGCTGACTGCCAGCTCGGAGCCTGGAGCCTCTTTCAGAGTCTGTGACTCCCTCTCTCTCTGACCCTCCCCTGCTCACGCTCGCTCTCGCTCTCCCTCTCTCGCTCTCCTAGAAATAAGTTTAAAAAAATTGTAAAACAGCATTAAAACGGCTTCTTTGTCTCCTCTCTCTGACCCTCCCCTGCTCGCGCGCGCACGCTCTCTCTCAGAAACAAAAAAAAAAAATTAGGGGCGCCTGGGTGGCTCAGTCGGTTAAGCGTCCAACTTTCACTTAGGTCATGATCTCGCGGTTAGTGGGTTCGAGCCCCACGTCGGGCTCTGTGCTGACTGCCTGCTCGGAGCCTGGAGCCTCTTTCAGAGTCTGTGACTCCCTCTCTCTCTGACCCTCCCCTGCTCACGCTCGCTCTCGCTCTCCCTCTCTCGCTCTCCTAGAAATAAGTTTAAAAAAATTGTAAAACAGCATTAAAACGGCTTCTTTGTCTCCTCTCTCTGACCCTCCCCTGCTCGTGCTGTCTCTCTCAGAAATAAAAAAAAAAAATGAGGGGCGCCTGGGTGGCTCAGTCGGTTAAGCGTCCAACTTTCACTTAGGTCATGATCTCGCGGTTTGTGGGTTCGAGCCCCATGTCGGGCTCTGTGCTGACTGCCAGCTCAGAGCCTGGAGCCTCTTCCAGAGTCTGTGACTCCCTCTCCCTCTGACCCTCCCCTGCTCACGCTTGTGCGCACGCGCGCTCTCTCTCCTAGAAATAAGTTAAAAAAAATTTTTAAAACATTAAAACGTATTCTGTCTCCCTCTCTCTGACTCTCCCCTGCTCGTGCTGTCTCTCTCAGAAATAAATTTTAAAAAAGTTAAAACAGATTGTCTCCCTCTTTCTCTGATCCTCCCCTGCTCATGCTTTCTCTCAGAAATTAAAAAAAAAAAAATTAAAACAGATTCTGTGTCTCCCTCTCTCTCTGACCCTCCCCTGTTCACGCTGTCGCTGTCTCTGTCTCTCTCTCTCAGCAATAAATAAAACATTAAAAACTTTTTAAAAATATTTTTATGTCTGTTGAGACAGAGCGCACGAGTGGGGGAGGGGCAGAGAAAGAGGGAGACACAGAATCTGAAGCAGGCTGTAGGCTCTGAGCTGTAAGCACAGAGCTTGATGTGGGTGGGGCTCGAACCCATGAACTGTGAGATCATGACCTGAGCCCAAGTCGGTGGCTTAAGGACTGAACCACCCAAGCGCCCCTAGGTCTCCACTTTCTAATTGCGAAACTTGCAGGAAGAGATTATTAGTACACATGAGCTGGGCCTAAAATCTTTTCTGAAAGTTGAGGCAGGGGCCCTAGGGAGTGGGTTTTGTTCCCCAGCCCTATCTCCTCTTCCCTTCTGAATTAATGAAGGATGGGCTGGACTTCCAGGCTAGCTGCTTTCTAAGAACAGTTATTTTGGATTTCAGTAAGGACCTCCAGTTATTCCACCATGGGAAACTTCTGGGTCTCACCATTCACTTTCTAAAAGAAATTCATTTTAGGTAGTAGAATGGGATCTTCGCAGTGTTGTTTAACTCTTTTCCAGATTTGTTGAGCTATAATTGACATGTAGTTTTCTGTAAGTTTAAGGTATACAGCATGGTGATTTACGTATATCATGAAATGATTAGCACAGTGAGTTTAGTTAACATCTAATATACATTCAAGGAAATTTTATTTTCTGTCGTAATGATAACAGTTAGGGTCTACTTTTTCAAATATACCATATAGTGGTGTTCGCTATGGTCATTATGCCGTACCTACATCTCTGGTACTTATGATTGGACATTTGTACCTTTTGACCACCTTCATCCAGTTCCCCCCTCCCCCACCCCCTGCCTCTGGTAACCGTATATCTGATTATATCTTTTTGTTTTAGGATTTTGGAGGTGTTTTTGTTTTTAGATTCCACATGTAAGGGAGGTCATCCTGTACTTGTCTTTCTCTGTTGACTTCACTTAGCATAATGCTCTCACAGTCTGTCCATTTTGTCACAAATGGCAAGTATCCCTCTTTTTGTAGCAGAATAACATTGCATTGTATGTATCACATCTTCATCTATCTGTTGAGGGACATTTTGATTGTTCCTATGTCTTGGCTATTGTAAATAATGCTGCTGTGGATATGAGGATGCAGATATATTTTTGACATGTTTTACTTCATTCAGGTACATTCCAATATATTCCCAAAAGTAGAATTGTTGGATCATGTGGTGGTTTATTTTTAATTTTTTGAGGATTCTCCATACTGTTTGCCATAGCAGTTGCACTAATTTACAATCCCACCAAGAGTGCACGTGAGGATTCCTTTTTACCCACCTCTTGGCTTTTTGATGATAGCCATTCTAACATGTGAGGGGATACCTCCTTGTGGTTTTAATTTGCTTTTCTCTGATGACTAGTGATTTTGAGTATCATTTCACGTGCCTGTTGGTCATGGATGTATTTGGGTGGAGGGAATGTTCAGATTCTTGGCCTATATTTTTACCTGATTTGATTTTTTTTTTTTTTAAGGTTTTTGGGTTGTCTGAGTTTTTCTATGTTTTGGATATTAATTCCTTATCAGGTAACATAGTTGGCAGTAGTTTTTCCTGTTCTGTAAGTTTTTTTACCTTGTTGATGGTTTCCTTTCCTATATGGAAGTTTTTTAGTTTGATGTAGTCACTTGTTTTTTTATTACTTGTGCTTTAGTCGTTCTATCAAAAAAAAAAAAAAACTAGTACAAGGACCCATTTCAAGGAGGTTTCTTTTCTGTTAGTACAGTGGTTTCTGGTCTTATATTTAAGTCTTAATTTTATTTCAAGCTAATTTCTGTGAGCGGAAACTAGGATTCTAGTTTCATTTTTTCCCCATTTTTCACATGTAAATATCCTACTCCCAGCGCCATTTTTTGAAGAGACTGTTCTCCATGGAGTATTCTTGGCTTTCTTGTCAAATACTAGTTTCTCATACATGTATGGGTTAACTTGTGCTTCCTGATGTTTTTGATTAACAATATCACAGATAAATTCAAACAAGTAAGAGATTACTCAGGTGCTGATAGAGTCGAGTGACCAGATGAACTTGCCCAAAGTATACTGGTGCTCTATTGGTGGGGGGGTGGGGGGCTGGTCTTGGAGATCTTGTTCTCCACGGGGGGGGGGGGGGGGGGGAGGGGGAGGTTATGAAGTTACTGAGTCTTGTAGCATTCTTAAAAGTCATGAACTTGGGAGGCAGTGGCCCTGTATCCCTTTTCCTTGGCTGGATTCTTCCATGCCTGGGAGAAATGACTGCTGCTTCCAGGGTGCGAAGTCTGTAGTAAAAGGTCTCTTTGTGCACTATGTCCCTGGTGTATCACTTACTGTGAGAAATGATCTGTGCCATGTTTGTCTTTAAGCCACCTAATGTCCTCCAGTAGTGCTGCTGAGATCATGTCGGTGCTGTTCTTCCACACCATGAGATACAAACAGGAAGACCCGGAGAACCCAGACAATGACCGTTTCATCCTCCCCAAGGTAAGCCAGGACAGGAGCCCAGGGCCTGCTCAGATGCTTGCTTCTTAAAAATTATTTTAAAAGCCACCATGTGGCAACAAGGCCTGAAATGGGCTGTTTATTCTTTCGGTTCTTCTTTCTTTGCCTCATGTCTTAGTCCATTCAATCTGCTATAGCAAAATAACCACAGCTTGGGTGGTTTATAAACAAAAATTTGGGGCGCCTGGGTGGGTGAATCGGTTAAACGTCCGACTTCGGCTCAGGTCATGATCTCGTGGATCGTGGGTTCGAGCCCCATGTCGGGCTCTGTGCTGACAGCTAGCTCAGAGCCTGGAGCCTGCTTCCGATTCTGTTTGTGTCTCTCTCTCTCTGACCCTCCCCTGCTCGTGCTGCCTCTCTCTCAGTAATAAAAAACATTTTTAAAAAACTATAAAAATTTTATTTCTAATAGTTTCCTAGGCGGGAAGCCTAGAATCAAAGCACCAGCATGGTAACAGTCTGGTGGAGGTTCTCCTGCTGGTTGCAGATTTTTCATTGTATTATCACATAGCAGAAGGGGAAGTAGTCTTTCTAGGGCCTATTTTATAAGGGCATTAATCCCATTTGTGAGGATTCTGCCCTTGTGACCTAATTACCATCCAAAGACCCCCCCCACACACACACACACACACTTCCTGATATCCCTTTGGGGCTTAGATTTTCAACATAGGACTTTGGGGAGGCACAAATATTCAGACCATAGCACCTTATAAAGGTTTAAAAGGTGTTCTAGCAAGGACTGAAGTGGTGGAAAGGATGCTTATGGCAATTGGCCACCCTTCCTTTGTTGGTGCTCTGCCTTACCCCACCTAGTACTAAAACACCCCCCCTCCCAGCAGGGTCATGTTCCCATCTTCTGCCACCTTGGGAGAGGTGGGCAACATTAGTGGATCTATGTTGAGCTCAAGGAAAATTAAGTTTACTTTTTTTAATGTTTATTTACTTTTAGGAGAGGGAGAGACAGCACAAGTGGGAGAGGGGCAGAGAGAGAGAGGGAGACAGAATGTGAAGCAGGCTCCACAGGGTCTGAGCTGTCGGCACAGAGCCCAGTGCAGGGCTTGAACCCACGAACCATGAGATCATGACCTGAGCCAAGGTCGGATGCTCAACCGACTGAGCCACCCAGGTGGCCCTTGGAAAACTGAGTTTAATTTGGAGGGATATTCCACCCAACAGTTATCTCTATTTCCCATTTCTCTGTAAATTTGAGCTGACACAATGGGGGGACTTTCTCATTACACTAAGTGTAGTACCAGTTATTTAATGACCTTAAGGGGCAGGAAAGAGGAGTAATAAAGCAAGGTCGATCTAAAAGAACGAGCAGTTCTTTGGATGTCGTCTGAAAGTTTGCAGTGTTCTGAGCAAAACATTTAAATGCTCAGCTGGTAGAGCACCATGTACAAACAGAAACCCCGGGTTTGGTAGTGTGTGTTATTTTAAAGAATAAAATCAGAATATGGGCATGGCTGGAGTACCTGAGGTCCTATTTATGACCTACGTCTTGGTGTCTGAAATGTAATCTCAAATGAGGTTTGGCAAAATAAAATTTGTGAGCATGTGGTGTAGAAGAAGCAAGGTGAAGCAAAAGTGGTCCATTAACAACAAATCTAGGTGAAGAGTATATGGGATTTCATTGTACTATTACAAGTTTTCTATAAGCTCGACATTCCCTCACAAAAAAAAAAAATGTAGATATAGGGGCGCCTGGGGGCCTCAGTTGGTTAAGCGTCCGACTTTGGCTCAGGTCATGATCTTGCAGTTCGTGGGTTTGAGCCCTGCATCGGGTTCTGTGCTGACAGCTCAGAGCCTGGAGCCTGTTTTGGATTCTGTCTCTCTCTCTCTCTCTCTCTCTCTCTCTCTCTCTCTCTCTCTCTCTCTCTCTCTGCCCCTCCCCCGCTCATGCTCTGTCTCTCTCAAAAATAAATAAAAACGATAAAAAAAATTAAAAATGTAGATGTATAAACAGTATGAGCATACAGATCTCTGGTTTAAAACTATAAGATAGGGCGCCTGGGTGGCTCAGTTAAGCATCCGCCCTGGATTTCAGCTTGGGTCATGATCTCCGTGTTAGTGAGTTCGAGCCCCACATCTGAACTCTCTGCCCCTCCCGGGTGCACACACACACTCTCAAAAAAAAAAAAAAAAAAAAAAAAAACTTAAAAAAAACTGTAAGATGGCTAGACTGTCCTGTAACTGTTGCCATCTTAGTCGCTGGCCTTAGTGGGATAAAGAGGCTTTCTGGCATGCAGTAGCAGGCTGGCACTGTTCAGCTGCCAGAATTTATGGATTCCTCAGATTTAAGCAGCAGGTAAATTCTGAAGTAAAGAAAACACGTAGGAAGATAGCTTCACTTGGCATTGGCTGAGAATGGAATAAATGGACTTCCTATGGCAGAGGAGCCAAGGTCTTCATGATTGGTACTCCTGTGATGTGAATGTCCAGCGCAAACAACTGCATTAGGAAGCTCCCTGCTAAGGCCTGGTAGTATCAGTATCATGGATTATGAGGTGCCGTGAAGGCTTATGGAAAGGGTCTTGTGATTCCCCTATATCCACTTCTACCCCACTTCAGGGCCTTGTTTTATCCGCTGTTTTCTCCAGCCAAGCAGGCCAGAGAAGTAACCAAAAGTTCTTTTTGTAAACTAGTTCTCGAAGCATATTTTGTGCCAGAACAAAGATAAGAAGTACCACCTGAAGGAGAAGTCTTTTCTGAGTGTGCATAGATAACACCTTGTATGCATTTTTATTCTAGCTCCTGCTCCACCCCCCCCCCAATTGTGAGTGTTTCCCTCCTGACACATCATAAGGGTTCTTGGGGAAGGGAAGGTAACCCACGTGTGGGTACCTCCACCATGCCAGGCATTGTGCTGGTACCTGCCAGTCTTCTCCGTCAGTCCTCCAGCCTCCTGCTGTCTGAGGGGGACACTTTCTAGCAGAGCCAGAGACACAGGGGAGACTTTAGTGTGATGGGTCTGCAAGGCTAGGCATACAAAACAGGGAATTTCTGGGGGTACAAAGGTGTGAAAAAAGCTAAGGATGGTTAAGAGCCCTGGGTGGAGCAGGACAAGAGAGGGATCGGAGACTAACAAGTACCATCCTTGGTAGCAACAACCCCTCATTCTTTCCTTGAATGGAGCTGATATTTGAATGGAGGAGGGGGTCAGGCAAGAAACCTAGCTAACCACCATGTCAGATGGGCCTGAGCATCCTGGATCCAAGGCAAGTGAGGAGGAGGGTTTACTAGTTGAAACATCTGGCCCAAGAAAGCCTTAAAGTTGATATTTGAGCAGAGACTTGGAGCGTAGTGAGTGAGCTGTGTGCCCATTTAGGCTCCAGCCCTGAGCACTTCAGGGAGAGGGAGCTGTGAGTGCTGAGGCCCTAAGGCAGGTGTATACCCTGAGCATTCATGGGGCAGCACGAAAGCCAGGGCATCCAAAGCAGTGGTAGGGAAGAGTAGGACGTGACGGGGGCTGGAGGCTGGTGCAAGGAGTTGGGCTCTACTTGGCACAAGATGGAGAGACCTTGGACAGTGCTCTGTAGGGTGAGGAATGGACCTAGGTTTTAACAGGCTCCCTCTGGTGGCTGTGTTGAGAATAGCTATGGGGGGGAAGTAAGGAGGTTACTGCAGTGACAGTGGAGATGTTTGTGGCCAGATCAAGTTGGTGGCAGTGGAAATATTGAAGTTCAGTGTGTCTTTGGAAGCTTGGGACCCTTGGCATTGCTTTGTGGCACTGAGGGCATTATCTTCAGGGGATAATAATAGCCTGTGCATGGACACAGGAGCAGGGGAGAGGAAGAGTAGTGGTGTAAAGTGATTCATCTCTGATAACAGCACTTATAGATGACCACTTCTGAAATCTCATTTGACCTGAGTGTTACAAACCAGGGAAATTGTAATCTTCAGGTTTTGGGGGGGGGAGTGGAGAAGGGTACAAGTGAGCAAGGAGCAGAGAGAGAGAATCCCATGCAGGTTCCATACCATCAGCACAGAGCCCCAAGCAGGGCTCAAACTCATCTGATGCAGGGCTTGAACTCCTAAACTGTGAGATCATGACCTGAGCAAAGATCAAGAGTTGGATGCTTAACAAACTTAGCATCCAGGCACTCCAGTGTTTTTGGTTTCTGTTTAAGAACACACGTTCTCCAAAAAGATTGAATATCTGGTTTTTGCAGGACTACATGAAAGGCCTTGTTAAAGTGGCAAGGCTCATGTTTCCCTTTTCTGCTTTGCTCTTAGGCTCTGTTAGGCTGCTGTGTGAAGAAATTTCCCTTCTCTATATTCCCACAGGTTCAGCTGATCTTGGATTGCCTATGGCCCCCCTGTGTTTGTGATGTTGATCTGAGACTTGGGGTGCCATGTGGGTGTGGTAAAGACAAATCCACCCAAAGAATGGGAGGGGCAATTCCAAAGAGCAGCCTGTGCTCCATGCTGGGATTAGACTGATAACCTGTGTCCTGCAGGTGTTTCTAAGTTCATTTGGTCCCTTCTCTTACAGAGGCTGTCATTTGTTGATGTGGCAACCGGATGGCTTGGGCAAGGACTGGGGGCTGCTTGTGGGATGGCATACACTGGCAAGTACTTTGACAAAGCCAGGTAAGGTGGTTATCCAGTAACTGTTTACCTGTCCCAACCACACTCCTCAGGCACTTTGGCTTTATGGTCTATTAGTTTGGGAAGACCGTGATTGTTTAGAAAGTTCAGGCTCCTAAGCATTCAGGCAGTAAAGAAATTGTTTCTATAAACTGTTCTGGCTTCTCTGGTTAGGTTGTAAGTGCTGCCTGCGTGTAGAAACTGGTTTATTTCTGTTGCTTACTAAGAGTGACATCTTTGTTGTCCACTTCTCAGTGAGCTTCGTTATGGAGGGAGTAGCTGGCACATTTGCATTGGGAACCCCTATATGTTAATAGTCAAAGGTTTCTTTTTCTAGAGTGGTCCCACCTTTCTCAAGATAGGCTGACCAGTGTCTTTCTTACAGGGGTGTGTGCCCAGCTACTGCTGATGCGTGAGCGAGATGGGGGTGGTGCTGGAGATCCCCAGGCCTGGCCGTGTTGGTGTGCATGTTCTCCCGAGATGCACCTGACATTCCTGAGTCCAGACCCCCTCACATTTTGGTTCCAGCCCAGGTGGCCCCTTTGGAGGCACTTGGTTGTGCTGCCCCCACTGCTCAGGCAGCTACCCTGCTCCATTTCCCAGGGGTCTGTTGACATTTTTCATCTCATTATTGCCTCTATTAGTCCCTGTGCTGTGGTTAATCCATTTTTTAAACTTTTTAAAAATTATATTTTTGAGAGTGTGAGCAGGGGAGAGGCAGAGAGGGAGACACAGAATCTGAAGCAGGTTCCAGGAATCTGAGCTGTCCGTATAGAGCCTGATGCGAGTCTTGAACCCGTGAACCGTGAGATCGTGACCTTAGCTGAAGTCGAGTTAACTGGCTGAGCCACCCAAGCGCCCCATTAATCAATTTTTTAAAAACTTTGCAGCATTTTGGTGGAGTGTAGGTTGTGTTTTATTGGTCTTAACATTTTTTGTGCTTTTGTTGCGTAGAGTTTCACTATTTACAACAGAATGTATGCTCCTGAGGTACAATGTTTTGATATGATTATTGTAAATAAATTCATAGATCAGAAATAGAGGGTGGCTGTGCTTAAAATGAAGCTTACCAATAAACTGTATATGTAAATGTTTGGGTGTTTAAGGGAGTTCCTTTCTCCCCATCCCCTGTTGTTTGTGGATCCCAGAGATGGGGCTGAAGAACGCTGGAGTAAGAAAACTAGCGAAAGGTGAAGCTCCTCTTGTGAGGCCCAAGTTTTTAAAGCTGCGTTTCCTTAGCTGTAGAGTTTGGATAGAGCTGACCAGAAAAAGTCTTAGGAACCTAATGATGTGTGAAGCAGCTGTTCCATTCTGTTCCTTTGTTTCTCTCCATGAAATGTATTGGCTTGAGTGGTACAGAAGAGCCCTAAGCAGGGTCTTAACCTTTTTTGGCCTGCCCTAGCTACCGTGTATACTGCCTCTTGGGAGATAGCGAGTCCTCGGAAGGCTCCGTCTGGGAAGCATTGGCTTTTGCTTCCCACTACAGTCTGGATAATCTTGTGGCCGTCTTCGACGTGAACCGCCTGGGCCACAGTGGTGCCTTGCCCCCTGAGCACTGCCTAGATGTCTATCAGAAGCGCTGCGAAGCCTTTGGGTAATTTTATCCTGTTTTATGTCACCTTTTCACCCTATTCCCCCTTCGCCTTGTAACCTGGCTTCCTCCCGGCTTGACAGGTGGAATACTTACGTGGTGGATGGCCGCGACGTGGAGACTCTGTGCCAGGTGTTCTGGCAGGCAAATCGAGTGAAGAACAAGCCCACCGCTGTAGTTGCCAAAACCTTCAAAAGTCGGGGCATTCCAAGTAAGCAAAGGTTTTTTTTTTCCCCTCAGGGTTATTAAAAACATCTGTCTGCACAGCTGCACAGTGGCAGGAGGAGGCTCACGCTGGCCAGGCAGACCACTGGCTTAGTAGTGCTTAGTGATCACACCTGTATTATGTGCTGGAGGCGCTTGCTTTCCTTGGTCCTTAACAGATAGTGGGTCTGGTTAGGATTGGAGGGGAAGCCCAGACCCCCAGCAAGTGAGCAGTGATTTTTCTTTGTGCAGGAGGGAGCGGCTAGGAGGATCATCCTCCAATTAGAGGATTGGCAAAAAGTGATTTGCATAGAAGTGCAGAGTGAGAGAGAATGCTATTATGTGCCTGAACAGATAATAAGGGCGTGTGCACTTGCCTGTGCGCTCCCTATCTGGGAGGGTACCTACAGACCTAGTAAAGTGGCACCTCTGGGAAGGCCACCTGTGGAACTGAGGGGCAGGGAAGGAAGAAGGGGGTTTTGAAAGCAGTCTTGCAGGTTTCAAAGCTGATACCCGAAGTCTTTCAAGTATAAATAGTTGCAAAGGGTAGGATTCCTGTTTTAATACCAATGCTTTGGACTAGGCCTGTTCTGTGACTCCTTCCTAAAATAGTCTTCCTCTGGTGTCTCCAGTTCAGTAAATGACAACTTGACCAGTTTGCTCTTGGGAAAATTCTGGTTATTTTCCTTGCCTTCACCTATCCTTTACATATGTGCCCCTTACATGCAAACACGGTCTGTCCTCAATTCTGGTTGATTTCCCATCTGCTCACTGCTCTCTGTCTCCCTTGCTCAGACCCAAGTCCCCTCTCCCTAATTATGGTCTCCCCAAGCCAGCCTCCACATGGCTGCCATGGCGGTCTTTGTACATTTAATATCTCCACAGTCACCTCTCCACTCAATTCCTCTGACTTCCCATCCTGAGTCTGACAGAACTCAACCTCTTTATGTGCACAGGATCCTCCATGGTCCGCCCTGCCTGTCTCTCCAGCTTCCTATCCCGCACTGCCTCCTCCCTCCACCAGCACACGGGTCAGTGGACCCCCTCATGAGCCGCTGGGCCTTTTCAAGCTGTCCTCTGGGGCTGCAGTTCCAACTCAGGCTCCCTGTGCCAGGTTTTTACTCTTGTGAGTCCTTGGCTAATATCGTTAACATCAGGATGTCTTTGAGATGATCTAACAGACACTCAATTATATACTTCTGGAACGAATGGCTTTTATTTGGCTGCAGGTGTTGAAGATGCAGAAAATTGGCATGGAAAGCAAATGCCAAAAGAAAGAGCTGATGCAATTATCAAACTAATTGAAAGCCAGATCGAGACCGACCAGAATCTTGACCCAAAACCCCCTATTGAAGACTCGCCTCAAATCAACATCCTGAATATAGAAATGATCTCTCCACCTGCTTACACAGTCGGTGAAAAGGTAGGCAAACCGTTTTTGTTCCTTTTTTTTTTTTTTTAAATACACAGGACTCTTCATTCTGATCTCCATGGATGAACCAGTTACTAGATTACATGACATTTAACTAAAGGTTATATGCAGTAAAAATGGTTTTATTTTCTCTTTTACTATTTCTGATATCCTTTTATTTCAAACTTCAGTCTGAATTGTCTTACTGGTCCATTGATACTTATAAGCACCTAGTGCTGCGTAGCTTTTGCTTGCAAAATTGTGGTGTGGCAGTCTACTGTGGGTGAAACTGCCACAATTCTGTGTCTCCTTTAAGGGTCAGGGCCTGGCTGGGCCAAGGTTTCGAACTTAACCTCCTGGATTACAGAAGGAAGTAGGTCAATTCATCAAAGACCAGTTCTTCAGAAAGGAAACAAATTAGGCATGAAACCCTGCTATAATGGCAGACCCCAAATAGGCAGAGTCTCCAGGAACTGAGAAAACAAGGTGATGAGCCCAGGAGGAAGGAATTTTGTTTATCCTTTGTTTATTTGGAGACTTTTAGAGCGTTGCTTATGTTTTCTTAACGTGGTAATATGGGTTAAAATAAATGGACGGACTACTCCAGAAATTAGGGGGGGAAAAAAGTGTTAATCAGGAAAATTCACATATTAAGGGTACTTTGGCAACACTAACCGTTCATACTCTTTGAACTAATAGTACAACGCCTAGGAATTTAGGCTACAGAAATACCTATGCAAGTGTGCAGTTATGTCTATAAGAATGAAGGTTGGGGCACCTGGGTGGCTCAGTTGGTTGAGCATCTGACTCTTGATTTCAGTTTGGGTCATGATTCCACGTTGCAGGATCAAGCCCTACGTCAGGCACAGTGCTAAACGTAGAGCCTGCTTGGAATTCTCTTTTTCTCCCTCTGCCTATCTCCCCCCCACCTTAAAATAGATAGGCAGTAAGTTGATTTCAGCATTGAATGCTGATGAAATTGGAAATAACCCAGCAAGAGGCCAGGAGTTCACCCCAATCATTATTAAATTTAAGTTGTAAAGCAGCATAAAATTATAATCGTTTTTTGTGTAGAACCTTAAAAGGGGGGCATCATATATTATTGAAAACCATTTAAAAGTGCATTTGGAGAAATGACACCAAATTGAAGATGGAAGGTGGGATTATAAGAACTTCTCATTTATTTTTTTAATTTTTTATTAATTTGAGAGAGCGAGAATCCTAAGCAGGGTGCAGAGCATGATGCAGGACGCAAAACTCTGAAATCCTAACCCAAACCAAAACCAGGAGTCTAGCACTTAACTGAGCCACCCAGGTGCCCCCTGAACTTTTATTTTTTAAGAATGACATTTTTTTTTTATGAAAAATTAGTCCGGTTCATTAAAAATAATTGAGTTTAAAAAACAAGTCAGGAACCTCACTGGCTCAGTCAGAAGAGCATGAGACTCTTGATCCTCAGAGTCATAAATTCAAGCCCCATGTTGGGTGTAGAGATTACTTTAAAAAAAAAAAAAGGGGGCGCCTGGGTGGCTTAGTTGGTTAAGTGTTCAACTTTCGCTTAGGTCATGATCTCGCGGTTCGTGGGTTCGAGCCCCGCGACGGGCTCTGTGCTGACTGCCAGCTCAGAGCCTGGAGCCAATTTCAGAGTCTGTATCTCCCTTTCTCTCTGACCCTCCCCTGCTCACGCTGTCTCTCTCTCTCTGTCTCTCTCTCTCTCTCTCTCTCTCTCTCTCTCTCCCTCCTAGAAATAAAAAAAATATATATATTAAAAAAAATAGACTTTAAAAGAAGTGGAGTGCCTGGGTGGCCCTGTCAGTTAAGCATTTGACTCTTGATTTTGGCTCAGGTAATGATCTCACGGTTTTGTGGGTTCAGGCCCCACATTGAACTCCACACTGACCATACAGAGCCTGCTTGGGATGGTCATTGTCTGCCCCTCTGCCACTTCTGCTGTCTCTCTCAAGATAAACTTCAAAAAAAAAATCATTTAAAAAAAAAAAAAAGGATGAGACACTTCTATTAGATTCTTGATCTAGATGTCTTAAAGCTAGAGCTCCTTCATACCTCACAGTAAAAGCGTCTCATTAACATGATAGTCCCACTCTGGAAGTGCTAGCCAGTGAGGTTAAATAACCGCAAAAACTCCGTCCTGACTAGGAGAAAGGCAAGCCTCTCATCATTTGTAGGTGATAGTCTGGAAAACCCAAGGGAATCCACTAGAAACCGTTATAAATAAGAATCCAGTAAAAGAGCTTGTATCAAAACTAATACACAAGGGCACTTGGGTGGCTCAGTAGGTGAAGTGTCTGACTTCAGCTCAGGTCATGATCTCACAGTTTGGGGGTTCTGGAGCGCACAGCACACTTCAGATCCTCTGTCCCCCCCTCTCTGCCCCTCCCCTGCTGGTGCTTTATTGCTCTCAAAAATACATACTTTTTAAAAATGCTATACAAAGATTAATTTTTTTTATATTAACAAAATGGAGAGATGATGTAATGGCAAGAAGACTAAAATATATGGGGGTTATATTAAGATATTTTTAAAACTGTAGCCATAAGAAAAACCCACATGCTTTGTATGTGTGAGATGCTCAACAGATATTTGTGCATAGACCATCCTGTTGCAGCATGTACAGTATTCCATTTTATGAGTATACCATACATTTTGTTTACCCATTCAATCCTCGATGGACATTTAGGTTGTTACTACCTTTTGGTTGTTGTGAATGAAGCTGCTTTGAACATTTGTGTCCAAAGTTTTGTTGAGATATATTTTTCTCTTGGGTATATACCTAGGAATAGAACTGCTGGGTCATGTGGTAATTTTGTTTAACATTTTGAGAAAATGCCAAAGCTTAATTTGTAATAGAAAAACTCAATATTGTGAAGATGTCAGTTCTCCCCTAAATTAGTTCATAAATTTAGTTCAATCTCAATATCCTAATGGAATTTCTTGTTATTGGTACCCTGATTCTAAAATTCTACATTTTAAGGGGCGCCTAGGTGACATAGTCGGTTAAGCATCCGACTCTTGATCTTGGCTCAGGTCATGATATCCTGGTTTGTGTGGTCATGCTCCGTGCTGACAGCAAGGAACCTGCTTGGGATTTTCTCTGCCCCTCCCTCACTGGTGTTTTCTTCCACAGTTCCTTAAAAATAAACTTGTTCTATATTTTAATTTTTGCACTGAGCATTATCAGTTTTATGATTAAAAAGTCACAGGGCGCGTGCATTTTAGGAAATTTAAATATTTTGATAAACCATATGAGGGGCACCTGGGTGCCTCAGTTGGTTAAGCATCCAACTCTTTCGGCTCAGGTCATAATCTCACGGTTAGTGAGTTTGGGTCCATGTCAGGGCCTGTGCTGACAGTGTGGAGCCTGCTTGGGATTCTCTTGTGTCCCCCTCTCTCTGCGTCTCTTCTTTTTCTCTCTCAAAAATAAACAAAAAAAATTGTCTTGGACGGGGCACCTGGGTGGCTCAGTTGGTTAAGCGTCCCAAGTTCAGGTCATGATCTCATGGTTCATGAGTTCGAGCCCTGCGTCGGGCTCTGTGCTATACCTCAGAGCCTAGAGCCTGCTTTGGATTCTGTGTCTCCGTCTCTCTCTGCCTCTCCCATTTGTGTTCTGCCTCTCTCTCAAAACTAACTAAAACCTTAAAGAATCTTTGTAATTTTGTTTTGGTAATCTATATAAATGGGGCAGAAGAATAAGTTTAGTTTTGAGAATTGCTACCCGATGAACCAAGGATGGGTTTAAGATTGGCTAGCAATCCATTTTTGTAACACAAAAGGAAATTATTGGTGAATCACAAATTGGCTTTCTTTGTCAAGATGGAAGACCATTTGTAATCCACAAAATTTCACCTAAATCTACTCTAGAAGACTGGTTTTTTGTTTTTGTTTTTGTTTTTCTAGGTAGCTACTCGGAAAGCATGTGGTTTGGCTCTGGCTAAACTGGGCCACGCAAACGATCGAGTCATTGTGCTGGATGGTGACACCAAGAACTCCACCTTCTCAGACATATTCAAGAAGGAACATCCAGAGCGGTTCATTGAATGTTTTATTGCCGAGCAAAACATGGTATGTGTGCTATGGGCATCCCTCTTAGGTCTTCTCATTGACTGACGGTGGCCTGCTGGACACAGGAGGCCAGCCCCCAGTTAATTTTCCTTTCCATTTATAAAAACAAAGGAACTAGAGGAAAAATGTCTCTGAGGAAGCAAGTAGAGAGTAGCTAGGCAGTGGGGTGGAGTGGCTTCCGGGCTGCTAGGAGAGGCAGGGTAGACTGCTCAGAACCATCAGAACCATCTCCAGGTACACAGGACATCAGGCCAAGAGTCACAGCCACTGACCCCAGGGCTTCAGCCCTGAAGTATCCCAAGCTCCCCAGCAGCTATAGGTGTTTCTGTTCTTTCTATCCACCCAAACCCACAACCAGACAGTCCTACAACCACCCAAAGGCAAATAGGTTGAAGGAGCTACAAAGGACTGGTTTCTCCTTTGTCACGTAGAGCCTAATATATCATAGATGTTCAAATGTTGCCCTATTTGCCACCTCAAGATGGCCCTGAGTTAGGCTGTTCTGCTTATCTGTGCTTTAGTCTCTCCCCCAAGTGACACTAATGCAGGGAGTCTCCTTTATGCATGCACACATCCCCCCCCCACACACCCCTCTGAAGAGAAAAAAGGAGCTAATTCAAGTTAACACCTGACTTCTAAAGCTCTGTGCCACCACAAAGGACAACACACATGTATCATCACCTCTTTGAGGCCAAAACCAGCACCAGCCAGAAAACTGAGAGTCAGCAGGTCTCATGGGACCACCAGAGATATTTCATTTGGAACGAGTAGTATTTATAAAATGTTTTAGTTGATTGCCAGATTTTAAAAATCAGATTATCTGTAGAATCCAAATTTCTGGATTCTCTTAAAGAATAGGAAGATTTGTGAGCACCAAGACAGCATTACCTCCTGCCACCAATTGGCTGGAACTAAGCAGGGGCCCCCCTGAGATGGCTGTGCATAACCAGCTGGCCATGGCCCTGCTTCTGGCCAGCCTGCACATTCATTTATGGTGCCTCTCTGGCCCTGTTGGTATTGGGATTTAAGCCACCTATTTGGTAAAGTAGAGCATCGCATCTGTAAGCATAAATACATATTTCTTTTTTTTTTGATAATTTTTTAATGTTTATTTTTGAGACCGAGCAAGAGGGAAACACAGAATTGGAAGCAGGCTCCAGGCTCTGAGCTGTCTGCACAGAGCCCGACGTGGGGCTAGAACTGTGAGATCATGACCTGAGCCAAAGTCGGATGCCCAACCGACTGAGCTACCCAGGCGCCCCTTTAAATACATTTTTCTGTGGGTCTCCTCCTTTCCATTTAGAATACAATCCAGCATTTTCTGAATTGAGTCTCTTATCAGAAAGCTTGCTCCCTGATTGCTTTAGTTAGTAGCCTTCATCGGCATATATTGTGTCTACTGGTGGGTGTTCTCACAGTGGGAAGAAAACAAGCAAAACCGCAGCTAGCAAGTAGTGCCGTGCCGAAATTGGTGGCTATGGTAAGCATGTAACTAGGGCCAATCAGGGATGGCCTCTCAGGTGACGTGACATTTAAGCTGAGACTTTTAAGTACAAGGAGTCATGCACAGATCTGGAGGACGGCATTACCAGCAGAGGGCACAGCTGCCTCTGTGGCAGGCCCAGACTTGAGCCATCTAGGGAGCAGGAGGGAGAGTGGCAGGCAGCACCTGGAGTACAGAAGGAAATTGGTTCAGCCAGGTCACCAGGGGCCAGATTATATGGTGCTTTTACTGGCCACCTTCAGAACCTCAGGTTCTCTTGTACTTACTGGGAAAGCACATGATGGGTTTTACAAGGCCGTGCAATGTGAAGAAGAGCTTGTCTGGTTGACGGAGGCAGTAGGGGTGACAGGAGATGGGGACCTGGACCAGGTTGGAGGTAAGTGGTCATATATGGAATCTCTTTTGGAAGGAGAGCTAACAGGATGCCATGCTGTAGGTGTCAGGGCCAGAACCAAGGCTGGCACTTGGGTGTAGGCCAGAGTGCTTGGGTACAGTGGTGTCACTTCCTGAGATGGACATGATTGGGGGAGGAGTGGATTTGCAGGGGCGGTGGGGGGGAGGTCACTGGAGCTCTACTTGGGCCCTGGTGTGGGGGTCAGGTAGTTTGGAGGATAGATCAGTTGTCTTTAAATGCATTTGCTCCTTGTGTGTTTCTAAACTATGTATTCTTCAGCCAAGTTTTAAGATTAAATTTTTCATCACAAATTTGGGTAGTTACAAAAGATGTAATTTCCCACATACTGAATTTGAGGCACTCTAATACTCATCCAATTAAGGATTACACAAAGACCCTCCTTAGTTATAAGTTTTTCTTTTTTTCTAATGTCTATTTCTGAGAGAGAGCAAGTGAGCAGGGGAGGGTCAGAGAGAGGGAGACACAGAATCTGAAGCAGGCTCCAGGCTCTGAGCTAGCTGTTAGCACAGAGCCCGACGCGGGGCTCGAACCCACAAACTGTGAGATCATGACCTGAGCTGAAGTCGGAAGCTTAAGCAACTGAGCCACCCAGGTGCCCCAAGTTGTCATAAGGTTTTATATCTGAATTCTTATTTCTGTTCTGTTGCCCTAACATTTTTATGCATAAAAAATGTTTTATGCAGAGAGTAGGAAATGGGCAAGTGAGATGGTATGAGAAGTTTCCTGTGAGCGAGAGCACAGATGAAGGGTGGTGTCTGGAGGGGGAGGACATAGTGGAAATAGAAGGTACGAGCACATATTCGAATGGTGAGAGTGACCCAAGAGAAAGGGCTTGGATCCGTGAGGGGTGGAGATAATTGCACTGTTGGAGATGCCCCTGAGAACTCAGGAGAAGGGGGAGATTCCGTATGGCAGTTGGGCAAGTGGGCCGTAGGTAGGTGCAGGGCTGCCATGTCTCCTCACCAGCGGGTGGGTGGCTGGGGGGCCGATGGGAGAGGCTCCGTTGTTCACTTCTCATTTCCCAGGAGACACCAGGTGAGGGCACCCTGTGAGGGAATCGGAAGAAGGGTGCAGAAAGGGACCTGCAAGGACTGTGAGGAGGGAGGCCTTGAGTGTCCTAAGCTTTCCTGTCTGCTCTTCCCTACCTTCCTGACTTGGAGCCAAGTCAGCACCACAGTTCTTTTATTTTTTGGCAGTTCGGGTGACACTACGGGTTTGCCAGATTTGGGGTTTGCCCAGCTATGTGCCAGGATTGAGCTGTTTGGTAGGGGGAGTGTGAAATAGGGATTATCCTGGGACGCACTCACTGTGCGCTGGGGAAGGGAGAAGCAGGGTCCAAGCATTTGTTTTCCCGTTTACCACTGTGCTGTTTTTCTCAAGGCTTCCACGTTTTTTGTTTTTTTTTTTAATGGGGCAACTTATTCGAAGGGTATCCAATTCACCTTTTTATTGCAGGTGAGCGTGGCACTGGGATGTACCACCCGTGATCGTACTGTTGCTTTTGTTAGCACCTTCGCTGCCTTTTTGACTCGAGCATTTGATCAAATCCGGATAGGAGCCATCTCTCAAACCAACATCAACCTTATTGGGTCCCACTGTGGAGTATCTGTTGGTATGAGTCCTCAGTACTATCATCCTGTGTGTGTGTGTGTGTGTGTGTGTGTGCGTGTGTGTATTTAGAATTTGTTTTGAGGGGGAGAGGGGTAGAGAAGGGGGAAAAGAGCATCGAGTCACCTTGGACAACGGTGCCCAGTGACTGAGGGCCAGACACTGGCGAGGGTCAGGGCCAGATGAGAACACTGGTATGTTGATCTGGAAAGTCCGTTAGGATCCTAACCCACAGTGTCACAGTGATGTCTCATGGGAGACCGACCTGTGACAGTTAAATTGTGATTATAAGGCATTGTGTTGGTGCAAGAATTGGACAGTTTTGTAGGGTTCAACTACAAGTGTGGGCCCTCCCCCCATGGAAATAAGTTTTGCTTATCCAGCAGAGGGCAGGTTCCTAGTTGGCCCTTGATCATGTGTATGTTGGGCCGTGGCTTTGCTTTCTCAGGAGAAGATGGCCCCTCCCAGATGGCCCTGGAGGATCTGGCCATGTTCCGAGCCATTCCCAGCTGCACTATTTTCTATCCAAGTGATGCCATCTCAACAGAGCATGCTGTTTTCCTGGCAGCCAATACCAAGGTATTTTTTTTAACTAAAATTTTTTTTTAATGTTTTATTTTTGAGAGAGTGACAGAGCATGTGGGGGGGAGGGGCAGAGTGAGGAGGACACAGTTCAAAGCCAGCTCCAGGCTCCGAGCTGTCAGCAAGAGAGCCCAGCACGGGTCTCAAACCCACGAACTGTGAGATCGCGACCTGAGCTCCAGTGAAGTGAGAAGCTTAACTGACCACTCCAGGCACCCCACCAAGCAGGATACTTTTTAAGGGGACATTGGTTAAGAGAGAAAATGCTCCTGGGCTCTGCTACTAGTTTAATACTGATTGTGTTTTTCCCATTTTTTTCTCCATGTAAAGATAATATTCATTATAGAAAATTTGGTTGTATGATTCCTTTAAAAGACAGAACAATTACCCCAAAAAAGGTGACTGAGTATGTAGAACATAAACATGATCATGTAAAAGACCGTGCAGAAGGACACGGAACAATCGCTGGCAGCCCGTATGGAGCAGGGCTCGCCACGAGGAGTAGGAGCTCTGGGCACTCCAGGATGGGGGCCTGTCAGCAATGTCCTGGGAGTGAGCTCCAGCAGGGAGCGGTCAGTAATGCTGGCCTTAGACAAACCCCATGCTGTCACCACCTCATGATATCCAGGAAACTGGAGAGTGACCAGGCGGGGTAGAAAGAGAATCCCAAGCAGGCTCCATGCTGAGTGTGGAGCCCAGCACAAGACTCCCTCTCATGACTGAGATCATTACCTGAGCCGGAACCAAGCATGGTCACTTAAATGACGGAGCCACCCAAACACTCCTAAAGTATTTTTAAGAATGAAGTGTTACAAACTATTCTGGCAAAAATTTAGTTGCTTAATGTGTTCTGGGCTTTTTATTAAACATGAGTCAGTGTTGTGGCATACGTTCATCTTGTACCAATAGAACAAGGTCAGTGCATATTTGAAAAAGCTTTCCTGTATCATTGACTATGATAGCACAGAAAGCTTGCCACCGAGGGCATCTGCCAGGGTTCTGTATAGGCTTTTGCCTGGCTTGGTAGTAATCTGATCCGGTGACACCTGACCTGTTTGCCAGTGGTTGAGATGCTTCTCAACCAAAATGTGTGCTTTGTCTTTAGTAAAAAGAACTGTTATTAGTTGGAAATTAGTTTGATTTTTTTTTTTAACTGTGGCTCTGGTTTTAATATACGCCCTAGGGGATGTGCTATATTCGGACCAGCCGACCTGAAACTGCAGTTATTTACAACCAACAAGAAAGCTTTGAGATCGGACAGGCCAAGGTAAGACCTTAAGTTCTCTAGTGCCTTCTAGTACCATTTCACGTGGAGAGAACTGGTGTAAAGCTAGCACCAGGTATCCCCGCACAGTCCAGGCTTGATGCTTTCTTTGCTCTGGTTAAAAAAAAAATTTCACTGTGACCTTTACCCGCTTTTCTTCAGGAAGGAGCATTTTATCAATATCAGCCTAAGCAAACATTTTTTCCCTTCCAAATGGAGTCTTTGTTGAACTCTTACAGATAAAGTGGTAACAGCTTAAAGGTACTTGAGTTGTTTGGGTGTAAATTACCACAGTCTGAAGGTAAACAAAATAGTACAACCTATTTCAAATGAATAATGGATCTTTTAGATTTGGGTTTTGCAGATCCGAGCCAGCAATAAAAAGGAACATGAATGTCTTGCCACCGGCCATTGTGTGGCTCTGAAGTTGGTGGGATGTGGCCTTGCCCATGGGCCTGATAAAGTTAACCCTAACCCCATCACTGAGTGCTTCCTATCTTCTGTGTTCTTGCAAAAGCCCTAGAAGCACACAGATTGTTAGCAACCCTGTGTTGTAGGTGAGCAGCTTACTCAGGGTTCACAGTTAGTATCAAGACCAGAATTCATACCGAGATACTGACCTGACCTCTGTCGGAGCCATGTGTGCAGAGAACCAGCAGCATCTGGGGAGAAAATAAGTGACTCTGTTCTACTGCCTAGAGAGCGGGGCTTACAGATGTTTTGGCACGTTTCCTTCCTGCCTTTTTAAAGGCCTCTAATGTATATTTTACATAGTTGAGATCACATTGCAGAAGAGAGTTCTACCGTCTTAAAAAGTTTTTTTAACATTCATTTTTGAGAGATGGAGAGAGAAAGAGCATGAGTGGAGGAGAGGCAGAGAGAGGGAGACACAGAATCTGAAGCAGGCTCCGACACGGGGCTTGAACCCAAGAACCATGAGATCATGACCTGAGCCGGAGTCGGATGCCTAACCGACTGAGCCACCTAGGCGCCCCAATGGCATGGATAATTCAAGGGCTGGGTTTTGCAAAGGGGATACAGGTGTGCATTATGTGTATGTGTTTATACGGATGTGTATGAAAAAGTTAGAATCTTCTCAAAGAATGGGGTGGCTTAGAAGCCCTGAATGTTTGTATTGTCAGCAGTACTTAAGCTACAAGGAAACCTATACAAAGGGATGCGGAATAGTTTCAGATGCCTTTGGTTGAGTGGCTTTGGAGGAAATAGGACTCTGGAATAAAAAAAAAAAAAAAGTCCAGTCCCCTGTGTTTGCTTGCAGAGTAGCAGGTGGTTGAGCTCCTGGGCTTCGATGTCAGATGAGCTTGGCTGCTTTGCCTCAGCCCTGCCCTGAGCGAGTTCCTCCCACTCAGATTTGCTTTCCCCAGCCACAGAATGAGCCCTTTAATGCGTGGGCCTCACGGGGCACTTGGGCATACAAGGTGCTTGGCACAGAGCATGTGGCAGACGTCCCCAAATGATCCCCATCATCGTGTTCATCATCAGAGTCTGGTCTGTGTGCGTGCCTCCACAAGATGTGCAGCTAGTCCAGAAACTGTGCCGTCACATACCCTCTGTGGCTGTGAGGCTGTGGCCTGCCGTGTGTGTCCTGTACAACTTGTTTCTGGCCCTTTGCCTTTCAGATCTAGTTTGAAATCCACCTTCTTTGCTAAAGGGGCGTTTTGTTATTCTATAAGAACTTAGTGATTTGGCATCGCAAATCATGAAGCATGATAGGTGAATTTGTAAAATATGAAGAAAAGTATATCAAAAAGAGGGTCGTTGTTTGTCCGTGTGCTGGTTCAGCTTTTGTTTATAGTGAATTCCTAAGGAGTAAAACTGGTAGGACCGGAGAGATGTGCTCCGTGAATAGTAACCACAGCTTTTTTGTTCAATGGGCATAATACCAGGTCGTCCGCCACAGTGTCCATGACAAAGTCACAGTTATTGGAGCTGGAGTTACCCTGCATGAAGCCTTAGCAGCTGCCGAAGATCTTTCCAAGCAAGGTCAGTTGGGTGTTGGTGAACATTGTGAAGTTTAAGCTGGGCAGGGGTGGGACTTGGGCTGCCTCATGTGCCCCAATTGGTTTTTTTTTTATTCTAAGTTAATTTCATACACAAACCTGGCTAGTGCTGTTTTCCAGATATTTCCATCCGTGTCATTGACCTATTTACCGTTAAACCTCTGGACACTGCCACCATCATCTCCAGTGCAAAAGCCACGGGCGGCCGTATTCTCACAGTGGAAGATCACTACCCAGAAGGTACATACAAATCTTGAGGGTCATGTCGTGAGAGTCTGCTTTGGTGAGAAGTGTGTGTGTTTACCATGACTGGGAAACCCACACTGCTTCTGGGCATCAGCCAGCCACTCAACCAGCAGCCATCATCACTGCTCTTGGCAAGTGTATCATTTTAGGGGTTTCTTGCCCATCTACACTGGCTCCTTACAGGGGGTGGCCATGCCCATACTCACCTGTGTGACCCCCAGCAGAGTGCCTGGTCCCTGGGTGGCTTAGCGGCAGCACGAAGGAGTGTCTAACTCAGTGTTGGGAGCAGGAAGGGGTCATAATGAAAACCTTCACAGTTGCTCCTGAGTTTTGAATGAGTAATAATTTGCTCCCCTCTCAAAATGGGAAAATACTGTCTTGCAAGCAGAGAACGTGACAAATGCAGAAAAAGTGTGTGGGGGGGGGAGGGCTGGGAACATTAGGTGGAGCATGTAAGGGAGTGGGAGTTCCATGTGTTCATGTATCAGGCCCCAAGAGCGCCTCCATGATCACTGAGCACTTCATGGCTATAGTGACCCACAGCGATCCTCTAGAAGCACTCAGTGCTCTCACCACTGAAGTTATGACAGGGACCGGACACGCCCTAGGACCCGCGAGGACAGAAGACACAGGTCGGGGTGAAGGACCCTGTGTCTTGGGCTCCCTCCCTTCCATGACGGGCCCACTGAGTCCTCTCCCTTCTCCAGCAGTGACAGATGTGTCCCTGGAGACCAAGGGACCCGCTCAGCACTCAGCAGCCTGGGTCTCATTGGGCGCTCAGCAAACTCCCTGACCCCCAACGAAGCAGGCGTCCCTGGGGACTCAAACCAACCCATTGGCCAGGTGTCACCTGAGGACCAGTCTTGCTAACAGCCCTCCTGAAGCTGGTGGCCTCTGGCCTGTTCCCGTCATTCTTTTCTGTATGGTTTATTTGTTGGTGTAATCATTTGGGGGTTCCTGACAGCTTTAGGAATCTGTCCTGCAGGCGCGCCTGGGTGGCTCAGTTAAGAGTCCGACTTCGGCTCGGGTCATGATCTCACGGTTCGCAGGTTCGAGCCCTGCATCAGGCTCTATGCTGACAGCCAGCTCAGAGCCTGGAGCCTGCTGTGGATTCTCTCTCGCTGTCTCGCTGTCGCTCGCTTGCTGGCTCTGGCTCGCTCGCTGTCTGTCTGGCTCGCTCGCTGTCTGTCTGTCTGGCTCGCTCGCTGTCTGTCTGTCTGGCTCGCTGTCTGTCTGTCTGGCTCGCTGTCTGTCTGTCTGTCTGGCTCGCTCGCTGTCTGGCTCGCTCGCTGTCTGGCTCGCTCGCTCGCTGTCTCTCTGGCTCGCTCGCTCGCTGTCTCTCTGGCTCGCTCGCTCGCTCGCTGTCTCTCTGGCTCGCTCGCTCGCTCGCTGTCTCTCTGGCTCGCTCGCTCGCTCGCTGTCTCTCTGGCTC